TATTTCAAATTGTGTAAAATATACATAATTACATGCAATCAAACTCCTTGTATACTTAATCCTTATAAACGTCTTGAAATTTATTTTCGTAATAATATTATGGCCAGGAATTTATGAACAATGAAAATACTTAGTGTGTTAAGTAAGAATGTTCTTGTTATTTTTACTTTACTCTAATGTCTAGTTATGAAGAACTATAATAACTAAACTATTATTTTATCACTTATTTATTCCTATATTATTTACTTATATATTTTAGTGTAATTGTGGTTTTTAGTTTTAATTTTTTTATCATGACTTATTCACATTTAGACAATAAAAAATATAATATAATACAAATACTTTGGTAACACAAATATTACCATAAATAATCAAAAGTAAATAAAATATAGTAATAAAAACAAATATTACCATAAAGTATGAAATCTAAAGTTCTCAGATTTAGGTAAAATATTTTTAAAAGGCTTTAGAACTTTTATTCGAAATACTCAGAAAAAAGTATTCAAAAACAATATTCGATTATTTTATGATGATAGATTCCATATGTATTTATAATACTTCACTTAAAGTGTTAAAAGTTTTTCAAATTTAAAATATACAGATATATACTTATTTTTAAATTTCGATATCAAAAATAATAATTTAAATTTTATTAAATCACTGATTATTTATGAATTAACAGATTAACATAATCAATAATATACACTTATTTATTAGTTATAAATTATAATATTACAATTTATTTAAATTTTAAGTTTGGTAAGTAGGAATATTTTTTACAAAACAATCATGAAGAACAATTGATGAACCCACGATCGATTTGACATTATTGACATTTAATATTGTATTTGTATACAGTTATAATACAAATACATTTATTAGTATTTGAATAGTTACAAGTTGTAATCGAAAGAATTGACCAGTGAATAACATAAATATGTGCTACTTTGTGTTTTTATCAAAATTACATTTTTTATTTTAATTATACAATACACAAAAATCATACAATATCTAAGTAAAAAATAATAGTACTCAAATATATAAAAAAAATAGAAGTTATTAAATAATTAATTACAATTGTATCGGTCAGTTCTTCCAATGTATATATATATATAAGTATGTTACCAGAAATATGGATAATCCGGTATTCTGCAAAATGCCAAAAATCACTCGACAATATACATAATACGAGCTTTGCCTAGGTATTATGTATAATGCCAATCGTGGAGTAGGCAATATGAAGAAAACAAACAAAATTGGGCACCCTATTACCAACGACTTTACTTATCGTTTATTATAAATATGCATTCACGATTTAACGCAATAAAGATTAATATTCTTTTACTACTATAATAATAATTTTGAGATACAATATTATTATTTACATAATTATTAGGTATATATATATTAAACGTACTAATAATTTTATATATCAACATCGTAATTTTTCTGGTAATTTTCGTGTCTCGTTTTGGTGTTGCAATTATGCATACGATTTATATGAAGTCAAATTTTTATAACATACTACAACATTTTTTTAAAAATGAGGCCACTAAAACTAGATTTTTATCTGATGAACAGTATAATGATTTGATAAAAATTCATTCCATAAGAATTGGCTAAGGATTTCTAAAATGTGTTTGTAAGTCCAAGTGTCAAAATAAAAAGTGTATTTGCCTTAAAAATAACATTTTGTGCACTTCAAAATGTCACTTTTCTACAGCATGTTATAATAAATAAATAATAGTAGTATTTATAAAATAGTAATAATATAATAATAGATAAAAAATTAATTTTGTCTCTAATATGAATAATAATATATAGTAATTATAAGAATTTTAATGTAGTAATATAATATATTATAAAATTGTTTGTACTTTGCCTAAAAAAAAATTGACATTTTATAAAATACCTCAATTATTCATATTTCCGGTAATATATATATATATAAAATTAAAAAGTATTTTGAAAACTGTATTGAGTAAACTACCCAAGTTCGAAAGTCCTAAAAACATGAATTATAATAAATTATCATAACTATAATTTGCATAATACGTGTAATTTTGTATGTGAAGTAAATATTCCATCGATCCATCATTAATACAAACATTTTCTACTAAAATTATTTAGAATATTTCAATATGCTATTTGGAAGTATTTGTATTTACTAATATTATTGATATTTTAAATTAAATTTCTAATTTTTCTTTTTTTATTTAAATATGATTAATAAATATATGCATTTAATTATTTACATAAAGATTTTTAATTAGATTAATTATTTTTTATTATATTGCAAAAATATAACATAATATTTAATAGATATTTTGAAAATATTTTGATTTGTAGAATATAAATTTAAATATATAATAATCTTTTATATAATGTAAGTACGAAAATACTTCATAGAAGCTTTTTTTTTTTTAGAAAAAAATCAGTCATCATATAAACTCAAGATTATTTTATGAACCCCAAGAAAAAGAAAAACACAAAAATACAAAAAAAAAAATAAAAACTCGTTACTCCGATTACGAGTATAAAAAAAATTTAAGAAAATTACGTTATTCATCGAAAAATCGAAAATATGGATCATTTAAACATAAACTGATGACTACTAAAAATATAATTAATAATAACCAAATTCGTAATAGGTTAAAAATTCCTGTTCCGTTATTAAAGTTAAATAAATGTGAAATAGAAAAAGAAATTTCTCAAAATAATGAGAAACATTTATTGACAAACATCGTTCAAAATGGATTGGTACATAACGAAGATATTATCATGTATCACAATACTTTTCTTGATGATGATTTTACGGATACTGAAGGTGAATATATTTTTATTTCTTTATTGAAAAATTATTATTTTATACTTCATTTTAATTGTGATTAGATTATTTTGGCGATACAAAAGAAATAGATGATATCATAAAAAGATTGTTTGAAGAGGATTTATTTAGTAGCAATGAAATTAATAAACAGTGAAATATTCATGAATATCTATGTAAATCTCATATTCATTATATTGAAATACATATTTTTTTTATAAATATTTATAATGTTTAATGGATTTAATATTTACGACATAACGATATTGAATAGTATAGGTAACTTATAGTTATAATATATAATGAAAATTATAAATCTTTAAATAGAATTTAGGAAAAAATAAGTTTAGCTTATTTGCATATTTAGCATATTTGTTCTCATGATTTTTATTTTTAAGTTAATATGTTTAAATCTTATTATCAAAATATGCCTTTATAAAATTTATTTATAATTTTATCGAGTCAAAATCTAAATCTAATAATATGCATTTATTTTCATAAATTGTAAAAACTTTGTGATTTATGTTTATTTTATTTTATGTATTTTTAATTTATACATACATATGATATATTTATCAAATGTTAAATAGTTTATTTAGAATGTATATTTTATTTTGCAGATATAGATATTAATCCTATTTATAAATAAAATATAAAACAAAATACAAATAAATTTAATTATATACAATATCACTGAAGTCTTTATTTATATCAAATTAATACTTTGAATTTAAACAATATTTCTAACAATTTTTCTTAAGGCTATTTTATATGAAAGTAAATAAAACACGTAATACTTTATTTATTAAATCTAAACCTAAAGTCTAAATTCAGTAGTATCATGGTTCTCAATTGTATGTATTATAGACCAGTATACAACAACATTCTGGTTTGAGACAAAATATAATTACCTTAAATAAGTAATATTCACAGATCTGTTTAGGGTCTTCTGAATAAATGACAAATATTATTTTTCTAGTCTTTATTTTTATAAGTTTCATAACAATTCGTACATTACTGCATCGAAAGTATGTAAACATAATTTGTACGTATATTAATAAAAAAAAGAGCTGATTGTTTATACTATATGCAATTGCGGAACTTAGGGGAGGAAGATGGGGATTCATCCTCGGGTATAAAATGTTAGAGGTTGTAATTTTTTTTAGTACATAATCTGTTATTGATTACTAGTTTTATATTTTTAACTTTGTAACTGATAATGATTTTAAAACTTAATAAGTATGATTGTATGCTAATTATCAGAAAAAAAAATTGTAAATGGTATTCGATTTTTGGTTTAAAATAGAATGTAATTTTAATATTTTCCACGGGCGCAAAAATTCTTACTTTCGACTTTGACTGTACAAGTAGTCAAACGAAACAATATACTAATCAATACAACAAATATATATAACTTGATTATAGAGAAGAAATATTTTACACAAAATACATATTAAGGACCTATTAGTAAAGACTAGGATCTATTATTTTAATATAATATAGGTATAAAATAATAATATTATATATACGGCTTTATGGCTAATTTTACTAAAAAATAATATACTTTGCATTCAAAAAATACATTTTTTTTATTGTTATATTACTGTTTTTTTTTAAAAATTCAATTAATATAATACATAAGCGTCATGGGCGTAGCTAAAATTTAAATCAAGGAGGGGCAAAAACATAAAATGATTAGTGTTAAACTCGTAATTCAAATAATCTACAGATAGACCATTGGATAACACATAAAACGTCAAAACGATTAAACGTGTAGATATCACTCGGTCCCACTAAACTATTTTTAGAATTATATCTTATTTAATTTTTGATTTTAATGTAAAACTTACACGTTTGGTATAAACAAATATAATTCAGTTTGAGGCACAGGGGTGGGCAAGTGTCCCCCACCCTGCCCCATCCTCGCTACACTCATGATAAGCGTGATACACTGTTTAAAAATGTATTATTATTAGTGTTAACAATTTCAATATTGGTTAGGTAATAATGTATCAATTATTTAAATGCCAAATAATAGATTCAAACAAACAATATTATATATTTTATTATTGTCAACCCATATAAAGTTCCATGACGTTTACACCTACATAAATATTACGCGTGACTCGTGTACGTCACATTGCACAAAACGTGATGACTAAAGATTATTTCATTTCCCTCATAACTTCTCAGTCAGTTTACTGCGTACTTGCATTACCGCTGTTCGAGCATTCGTGTTTCTTTGGAAATATCAAGCATTTTTATTTCAATTTAATTGGAACGTCGTTGGAAGACATTTATTGGTAATTATTTTGGATTAAAAATAATTTTAAGTTGTTTAAAAATGCGTGGTTAGTATATTTCTAAAAATGAGTTACTTGTATAAAATATTTACATGTTTAATAATTATTATGATCAAATGAACTTTTTACTTTATACCTTTGAATTGCTACAGTTTAGCTATTAAATTACACTCGATATCGGGTGTTTTATTCAAATTTTTAATAATAAATTTGAGCGTTTGTGGTTTACCAATAATATACTATTCAATTTATACATATTAAATTTGAATTTCTTCACATATTTAACAAATATTATTATGAAAAAATATTTTGTTTTCATCAACATTTATAATAAAATATACTTATTGTCCATTTATTGTTACTCTTTTCAATATTATAATTATTTACCATGCAATTATAAAAATATAAATATAAAAACTTCTTTGTAAGAAATAATAAAAGTAATAAATATAGTTAGAGAACTGTGGGTCAGGCTATTTCAAGAGACCACTTATTAGAGCTGAAAGTGGATTATAAATGTATTCCTTGTAACAAAAAACAATAGGGTCATATAATATTTGTTTTTTAAGTTTATTCATAATTATCATAGTAAACATTTATCTTATTTAATGGAAACTTACATGGAGTCTGGCATACAGATGTTTTATTTTACTATACAATTAAACCTGTGGCATCATTTGTGGGGGAGTTAGAAACCGGGAAATTTGCCACTTTAGTTTTAATTTCAACTTATAGTCGGCACACTTAAAAAATTTAAGAAATCTTCAAGTGGTCAATTTTGTCAACAAATATTAACTGTGAGTCAACTGACCTCCTGAATCCTTAACCTTTCCTAAATCTTCTCCTGGGCTCAAAGCAACCACGTTAATATGAAAAATCACAGTAATTATCTTAATCTTGAAATATTGTTGACGTGATATAAAATAACTAGGTATAACCGCTATAGTTTATACATTTTTATTTTCTTTTAAAATCGGAAAAATATAAATACTTTGAAAAATTGAGATAAGTATTGTTAACGGACACATACACATATACAATCATAATTCGATAATATATAATAAATTAAAATTTGTAGTAGAATTCAAGCGTAGCGAGAATAAACATTTTTGTAGGTATTTATTGAATCTTCTCCAATATTATGTTGTTAGAGACCCATTGTAAATTTATTGATGGAGGCCCAACCATGAGCCAGACCGACACTGATATACCTACAGGTTTTATTGACTTTTACTGTTATGAAGCCAAATCTATATTTAATTATAATTTAATTAACAATTTAATATATCTTGATGTTAGAAAAAACAAATATACATAAAACAGATTTTTTCCGTCATTATAGGCAAGACTTAATATTTCTATCATCAATAAAAATCCAGTGTAAAGTAGTATAAATATTTATTTTAATTTATTTATCTTGACTTAAAAAAAAAACAATTTTGAGCGAATGTTTTTCAATATTTACTCTCAATAATTTTAAAACTAAAAAGTTTGTGAAATAAAGTACATATTGTATATAAATTCAAAATCTTACTAATCAAATTTATGTTATTATTGTGCATGCGTGGGAAAACATACAAATATCATGAATGTGGATCAAACACAAATAATATAGCATATATAATAATATAATAATATTGATTTTATTTCTTCTTTTAAAGTGTTTACATATTTACTGATTTCTTAATATTAGCTTTAGTGCTGTATTTTGTAGTATTTTGCTCTGTGGAGTATGTATAGTGTATTAATGAATACTCAATAATTATTTTCGTTTTCCATTCATATTATTTTTAATCATCTTACACTAGTTAATTTACCAATATCATGTATGGTGAAAATAATGTTATATAATAAATTAATGACTGCAAGACATAAAAAAACAGTAATAAAGCGGCTATTGCGTTTATTCTTATCGTTATACGTTTCTTATGTTAGACTCAGTGGGGTTTTTTCAAAGGGGGGAGAAGGGGGCGCTTGCCCCCTTGGATTTTTTTATATCAAATGTTGTGTTTTGTATGCCATAGTATTTTAAACTTTTTTTTTTTAACAAGTTTTTATTTTTTTTTTTTTTTGCATCAGTATAAAACATTGAATCGATAACAATATACGTTAATGTAATAATATGGTATACGTTATTAAAAAATACAAACCTTCAATTAGAATTAATAAGGTTAAGTTAGTCAGGTTTGATTGGGTTTTTTTAGATTACCTATAGTCGAATTTATGGACTTTTTACTAAATTTTATATTCCAACAAAATTAAAGTATTTAAATTATGAAATAAAAAATGAAAGTAATATAATTTATAATAGAACCATATACAAATTGTATTCTGTTGTATTTTGTTATATAAACTCAGATAGGTATGTCTTGTAATTTAAACCCTATAAACAGGGGCGGTTCTAGGACTAGATTTTCGTACGGGCAAACAATATATTTTATGTTTCAAGTTACGTCCCGTTTCACGTAAGTGACATAAATTTTTGTTTATTTTGTTTTCATAGGTAAATTTATAAATTGTAATTATTTAAATAATAAATAATAAATATCTTTTGTTTGCACAGAGAAACCAAATGTTGCTATTATCCGATAAAAAATGTATAACATCCTTATGTACATTTATAAGTAAGCTGTAAGCTAAATTTAAATCCTAAATTTTCCTAAGCTACAGTTTTTTCCTTAACAGTTAACACACATAAAAAATAAAAATATTAATTCAAATTAGATATATATGTTATATATATTTTTACTATATCTGAAATTGTAATCTTCTATGTTTTATTTTTGCAAACATATCAAGAACAGGAGTTGGGTCTTTTAACAATTTTTCCGAATTCTCTTTATCTATAGATAATAAAGCAAAGTTACTCAACCTAGGATTTTACATTGTAGCTCTCAAGTAAGTCTTAATACGCTGCATAGTAGAAAAACTTCGTTCAGCATTAGTTGAGGATACAGGAATTACCATAGATAATTCAACTACTTTTCTCAAGTTAGTGAAAGCTTCGCCATAATTACTTATTTGTTGATGTACATCAGACAATGTTGAAGCTTCCAAAAACAAAGATTTCCCAATTAAACACTTTTTTATTTATGAAAGTGTAAATAATAAAAACAAATATATATTTGAATTCCTTAATTCTTTAATTATTTAAACATCACAGTGAACCTTTTAAGGTGAACGTAAAAATTTTGGTACGGGCAGCTGCCCACCCTGCCCGTACGCTAGAACCGCCACTGCCTATAAACTATTAATGAGCAAACCAAGACCAATATTATTATAATGCAGAGCCATTATGGTCTTGGTCTTGCTGCAAGACTCTTGTATTATTTAAAAATTGTATAAGAAAAAAATTATACAGCAGCTAGGCTTGAAGTTTGTAAAATTTGATAATTGTTTGTTATCTCCAAGATATAACTAAACTAGTACAATATATATATATATATATATATATATGATTCAACTTGTAAGAAACCTGATTTTTACTACTGGTGATTAAGAAGAATTCACTAAATTTACTGTTGAATACATTCATTTTAATAAATATAATTATCATTGATAATGATTAATAACACTGACAAATAGTTTTTAAAAGCATTATATTTAAATTATTTTTCCAAGTGTACACGGGGCCCGACTAAGTTAGGGCCCGGGATACAATTGCATCCTGGCATCCCTTTCCAGTCCTCCACTGAATATATTTTAGATTGGTTATATAATTACAATATTTATATTGATTTTTACTCCGACTTTTTCTTAGCATTTAAATAACTGTTTTCACTATTTATGTAATAACATCGTTCGTTATGTAATCGGATCGATATATAAGTTTGTCGTTAAGACTTTGCCAATAAAATATTCATATTTTATCATAACATATCTTTTAGGAATTGATAAATAACTACCCAAATTAATGATTTGAAAGACTGGACAAATTAAAGATTTTTTTTTACTCGTTAAGTTCATATAATCAGATGACAGTATTGTGTAATTAGTACTCTCTGCGTGATAGCAACTGTCGTATAATATATGATTTGTACTGTTGTCGTGTAAACCCAGCTTTATGACTTTAGTATAATTGAAGTTTGAAATCGAGATTTTTTTATGTTCGTGTATAGAGTATATCGTTTTAATAGCCCTTCATGACAATACATAATATAAATATCATGTATCATTTTAACTGAAATGAAACATGATGTTTTAATATATCGTATGACAAAGGTGATTTTTAAAATTAAATAATATCAATATATATCTATCTATATATTTAAAAAAAATTATAGAGTATTGAGTATTGGTTTATGAAGTATTGAAATAAAAAATGTTAGTATTGCTCAATTCTTGATTATTATAATATGTAATATTTAATATTATTTATAACAAATAATATTTTAATTGTAACTGGAGAATATATTATGTTCATAGATATGTAATTTTGATCTAAATAATTTAATAATAAAAATACTGTTAATAAATTGTTATATGTTATGATAAATATTTTAAATGTTATTGCGGTGTGGATATTATATAATTAATGATCATGTATTATATTAATTTGCATATCATTAAAATTTAGTAACTTGAAGTAAATTTTCTGTTATTTTAAGGTATCAGTTATTATACTTGTTGATTCCCAAATAGTCAAATTTCTCTTACTGTTGTGTAAAATAACATTTATTTTTCAATTTACTAATATTTTTTATTTTTAGTTGAGTGAACAATTTGATACTTAAAGTCGCAAATATGGAGGTCGGTGACATATTTAAAAACAATAATACGCAAAACATGTTTTCCCAATTAGGTAATTTTGTTGGCAATGAATTTATTCCATCAGATGATTGTTATAGTAAGTAATCTATTACTATTTATTTTTATTTGATTATTTAAAATATCTATAAATGATTGAAACATTATGATAAGAGTTGATTGTACAAGTAAAATACGTAATTCACAGGAATGTCAGTTATAGCTTATAAGTATACCGTGTGAAAAATTTAATTAAGCTAATTCATATTTTATATCAATTAGAATTCAAATATTTGTTGTTATATTTTTTATACCAATATATATTGTTTGAAATACTTACGGTGAAATATGTGATTTATCAATTAAGTAATATTACTATTATTATTTTTGTTTTTTAAATAAATATTTATATTTTCTACGACTTGAACATACATCAAATTAGTTATCGAATACGAACTATAATTTATATTTTATTATGTTTAAATTAGTCAAATAAAGTTTTTAATTCACTTTACGTTGAAAATAATTATTATTATAATCCCATTTTAAAAAAATATATCAAATTTTTAAAAATGGGATGAATTCAAGTTAACAAAAAAAAAAAAAAAATGCACAAAATATTTGTTTGTGTATTTTAGTAATTGATTACATGTATCTATTATTATTATTATTCTTATGTAAAAATAAAAAATTAAATTTCAGAATAACTGAATTACATTTTCCAATTATGTGCTTTAGAGAACCATAGACAAATTGTAATAAATGTTTATTTTTATGTTTATATAACCAAGTATCAATCATTTTAATTTTATTTTCCAGTTATATTGATACATATATACGAACAATTGAATAAAAAAGATCAAAACTCCAGACATTTGCGACAGATTATTGGACTGTCTCAAATATTAAAAAGAGTGTGTATATTTTTATTTCTAATCTTTTTTTTTATTTCTTATATTATTATTATTTATTTCTATATTTTTATTTATATATTTATTATTATTTTATATATTTATATTTCTTATATTGCTTACAATATGTGTATAGTTTTAATATTTATGTTTAAAAGTAGTGAAAAGTAGTGTATTAATTTCAATACTGCAAAATGAAATTGAGTTTACGCCAAATGTTATAAAAAAAATTCACAAACCTAAGGCTCAGAATTCCTAAGAAATCACCGAGTGTCTATATTTCTCAAATCGGTGAATTTTACTGTTATACGAGTAATACGTTGTTAGCATTCTTACTGGGAGATAGGTACTAAAATATTCCAATGAACTGTACTTGCAGTTTTACATTAAAGAACTTGATATTTTTAGAATATAATTGTTTATTTGTGTATTCTTCGCTTTATAAATAATTTATAACTCTGTGTAAAATGAAACATTTCCCGTTAGAAAAAATGTGTTAAGATTTGTTAAGTAGGTACATACAAATAACAGTTGAGCACAAAGCAAAATTAAAGTTATGAGATTAATTTTTTTTAATTATTTCTTGATGATTGAATTACATACCCAGCACTAAAAAAATAAACCCAATAATCTTTAATCTATAATTTTCATAATTTTAATCATTAAACACTTTATAAATTAGGTTTTTTTTATTTGTATTTAGGATCTTTTACCTATGCTGCTTGCAGTTAATAATAACAAAATATTGGGAATTTTAATAAAGTATGTAATTTCTTAGCTGGATATTTTTTATTTTATTTAACTTAAATATTGTTTTATAGAATACTTACTAGTATAATGTTACCAATTGAATATTTGATACCGGCTAATTCTATGACTAATGATGAACATGGATTTGCAACAATGCTTAACCTAAATTGGGCATTGGCAACAAGCAAAGTAGCATGTGCTAACATAAATACCATTAAACGTATAATACAAATTATAAAAGAAAGTAGTATGAAAGTAAGTTTGATTGTAATATATTTATTTCTTATATTTTGTTTGTATTACGATGAAGGTTTTAACATTTAAAAAAAATGAATGACTAAATACGATTTTCATTTGAATATAAGGCTTTTGTTATTTCAATCTCGTTATTTAACATGTCTACCAAAAGTTTTATGAAAGATTATAATGTAATAAAAACTATAAAATATTTAATGGAAAAAACATAAAATATATAAAAACTTTACAAAATCTACTGAAATATAGATAAAAAATATATTTATTTATGTATATATTACCGGTAGTTTTTGAATTAAATTCTTGGTATCAAGTTGTCCTAGTTGATTTCCAGTCACACCTATACATACAGGTAAAAATATACATTTATTTTAGTACCTATATCAAAATCTATTCAAAATCATTTTAACAAATTTATAGTTTTCTTACAACTTGAAGGTAAACGAGTTAATTATATGTTTTAATTAAATATTTCTTTAAAATTTTACTTACACACAAAAATTATAAAATTATTTTTAATTTCCCCCCTTCTCTCGTGAGAGACTTAGAGAGAGACCTGGTATTCTTTATATAAAATAAAAATTAACTTTTTATACTTTATGTAATATCGTTTTGGCATTCATCAAAATTCTTATGAACTTTATATGGTAAATTACTCAAGCATTATTTTAAACTACATTCAAATTATATGTATTGGTTATCATGATCAAGTTGTTATAAAAAATATCTATACATTTATCACTCTGTTGGTAGTACATGTATATGTATATCCATATTAATGGTGTCGGTGTTCAATTCTAGTTCAGTCAATGCCTTGTAAAAAATACTAGTTCTGAAACTTAACTTCAACATTTTAACTCGTTAATGCCCAGCCTTGCAAATAATTATATTTTAAAAAAGTCGAGAGTACCAATTAAATTAGCTTCAAGCTAACACCACTAACCACCCAATATTTTTAACATTGATGCAACATCGATTACGTATACATTTTTTATTAAGCTATTTTTATCTTTAAGTTAATATTTTTGAAGATATTATCAAAAAAGTTTAAAATGTTACCTAAAATCTAAAATGGAAGACACTTGCGGACTTTGAAGGGATGGTGATTTTTTTTTGATTAATCAAAATCTCAAAATGAAAATTTTTGCCAAGTTTCAAAACTTTATTGATTTTTGCAAATTAACGCTAATTGTTGATTTACTAGTTTTTCATTGACTGGACTACAACTTACTACTGATATATTTAACTTAAATAAATCAAATTACAGTTGTCTAACGCAACAGGAGGTCCTAGACATTTTAATGTAATTATATGTGATTGTTTACGTTTTATCAAACATATTCTTCACATACCTAACGATCAGAGTCAAAATCGAATATTATGGATTCTATTTTCCGAACATTTTGATGAGGTAAGTATTTATATAAATGTTTAAAATACAATTTTTTTTCAGAAATATAATATGACACGTTTTAAGTACAATATTTAATTATTTAGGTAGTTATTTGTATGTTTTCCTTAATTAGATATTATGAAGATAATGTTTTCTCATATTGAAAATCGGTATTTTATCGAGTAAAATTTTGAAACCGGGACAAATCGCTGTACTGAAACACTTTCTCGGGATACCGGGAACCTTGGTTAAAAACCGGTAGTGTCCCGGCAAAACTGAGACGTATGGCAACACTACTTTAAGCATATTAACTTATTTTTCAAATATTGATAGTTTTGAATTACAATAAATAAATATTACGCGTTAAGCGATCACGGTCGCGAACATGAACATACTAAACACAGCTAGACATTTATCAAACGATAGCTAGGTACTTAATATAAGGTATGACTCAGCAGGTCATTATTATTTATTAATAACTAACAAGTAACAACGATTCCGTTTGTAATCGTGGTTGAAGATTACAACGACAATAACAACCGTATTTCATATACCTACACAATTCTTGTTAAAAATAAATCGCTTTTGTCGGGTCCATAAATTATAATAGATTCTCGATATAGTATTGTTCAGAATATGGACAATATGTGGCTGTTTTTTATTTTTAAATTTTTTAAACCGATGATTTACTAAAATAATATGCATTTATGTGTTTAAAATCTTTAAATATGTAAAATCATGTAAAATTAGTCAATTATGTAATAATATGCAACATAAATGTTTATATTTGTATGTACTATGAAACAAATTTATATCGAAACAGATTTTTAATATGCAGCTTCTTAAGTAATATGCAAATGCATAAAGTTTCGAGCCATGCATTTTTATATATGTTGAAAAGATATAATGTAAACTGTGCCTAAATTTTTATTTATGCTAAAAAGGTGTAATGCAAACTGTGCCAAATTTTTTATTCATATTATAAAGGTATAACTTAAGTGTCCCGTTTATAAAATATACAAAACTTTTAACTTATTAAAGTCACAATAGTCTAGTATTTTTTCAATTAAATCACATAAATATTATTTTTGTCTAAAACCATGATATTCATGAAAATACGTTATCGAATAATTACTGTGGTAGATAATACGACTATTGTAGGTTAACACTACATCAAGCATAGGTCTGCTAGAACCAACAGTATTTACTTTAATTAGTGAAGTATCGATGACCGAATTGTTCGTATCGCAGCGCAAAAAATGCTTGTAAATTATCAAATTTTAAATTTCGTGAAATCAATCGGCATCCAATTTCGGGCGACTTTTAATGACGATGTACAGCATTTTTTAAAAACGGTAGGTGATGACGACAGAATTACAGAACAAAATATAAACCACAACTATAAATCGTTAATCATTAAAGTAATCAAAACTAAGCTTTTAATTCTAGCTTTTATAAAACTCATCCAAATTTGGTCATGTATATAGAAAAATATTAATTTAAATAGAAATATATTTTAAATTAAATAGTATAAATGAATCCTTTAAATACCAAAATTCTAAAACAATAAAAAAACATGTTAAATTACAAAATTGAATTAATAAATATAATAGAGATCAAACTCTAATTAATGAATATATATCAACAATATGATATGTTATTGTTTGTCTTAATATTATATTTTTTTTAATTTTTAATTTTATTTTATAAATTATTATATTATATGACTGTAACGAATTAATTAGAAATTAAAGATTGTAATTTTGATTTTATAAAAATATAGCTATTCATGCTTTAAATTTCTTCCGGGCGCAGTTTACGTGTAACCTTAGTAATACACCTGAGTTTTTATCAGATTTAATAAAAAAACATGTTTAATAATCACTGTTTCAATTTAATATTATAATTAATAATTATAAAAACAAAGGAAAACTCATATTAAATTTACCACTGTTAAATAAAATGTACTTAACATCTATGCATACAATTGTTAACTCATTTAATGTTATTACGTATAGGTAATTATTGATTTGATTAATACTTCTGGCCGAGAGCAATGGGCAATTCTAACTATCGAATTAATTGCTTTGATTTTTAAAAATCAACACGTTGATCACATGTCAAAGTTATTAAGTAAAACTATAATTAGCGATAGTTCTGAAGGTAACGAAAGCAATACATCATCACATCCAGTAATTATAATGATTTCTATATTTTTAAATATTTTATTTAAGGCGATTGGAAGTAGCGTATTTATTTCACGTTTTAGACCTAAAAGCCTGACAAGATTACGCATACTTAATATCATCATATTTAAATTCTGTTAAAAGATTTGAGTGGATCAACCTTTTTTCTAGGTTAATGTGGAAATCGATTTTTGATATTTGTTTAAAAATTGTCTTTAAATATTTGAGTTTCTCAATTTTTTTTTAAGTTTTAGATTTACTTTAGTGTCTTTTTTAAGAATGTTAAACAGTTATTCTAAAATTGACTTCCACAATAACCTAGAAAAAAGGTTGATCAATTCAAATCTTTTTACAGAATTGGAATCCGATCATTTGGAGTTGACGTTTTTTTTGTTAGGCTTGATTAATTTTCAGAGTTTCTTCGTCGGAGCAAAATATTTTATTTTATTAAATGCAATGACTTGTGCATGCGCGTGCGAACCATTAATTGTTTCTCCGAAACGTTAAATGCCGGCGCGCAACGCCAGCCGCCTGCGAACCGATAATATTATATGGATTCCTATATAGTCTTATTATGAATTCAAATAAATCGTATTACCTATATTTATAATTTGGTATATTTACTGTAATAAGTTTTTACACATACTGTGAGTTAGTTATTGATTAAATACTTATAACACTGCCAAGATTGACTTAACCTTTTCATTGCTACGGACATACTATTACGTTCCTTTATCTATAAAACGAAATACGCAGGTTATCACATTAGTGATTATACCAAAAAATGCAGAAAAATTAAACGAATTTAACGGTATAAAAAAAAAAACATTTCCATGTTCATTGTGGTAGCAATGAAAATTAATTTAACTTATTATTTATTTCAGTGGTAACTAAAATGACGCTGTTGTGTTCTGTGCGCGTTATCTGTAACCGGTTTACTGCTATAATAATTATAATTATGCGGTTCCTACGCTAGGTTTCCTAGTTTAGTTAAATTAATTTTTACAACAATGGACTATATACATTTGCATAAAATAATTAGAAATCTGAAAAATATTCTGTGCAAGAATTCATAAAATTTAAATTATCTTCAGTCGTGATACAGATAAACGATTTATTCATGGGAATATAGATAACATTTTTTTTATTAAATTAAAAAATATCATCGTTTTGCATTTCCTAAATTTTATCTATGGCTTCATTAAAAGATTTTGGATATACAGGAAAGTTTTTTCGTCTTGCCATATACATGGCTTTTCGGACAGAAGAAATATCCTTATGTGCAATATCTGTTCCTACATTCGTCAGTAATTCTTTTCGTATAATTTTGCTTGGTAGAGTTGAAATTGAATCGCCGGCTTTTCGTTTGCAATTTTCTCTGAGAACTTGACAGTCAATATTTTGAGGTGTTATTGCTTCATGTTTGTGCTCACCGATTCCCGCAATACCTTGAGTTTTTTTGACATCGGTTAAAATACTGGCATAAAAACTTTTGTTATAACATATCCATTTTAACAATTCATCTTTGCGTTTTCTTATAAAACAATATTTATGTGAAGAAACTACAGCTAACTCTTTCCCAAGTTCTGATATTATAATTTTTAAAGAATTCTCCATAATTACCGCACTATTACTAATACTATAACTAAAACCAGTGACTTATCGAATGTCAAGTTGGTCGTATACTAATATAACGATGTTAAAGTGTGACACGCGCCAGGAAATCCGATATAATAATCGGCATTTAATCTTATCTCGTAGTATTTTATAGATTACCAATAAGTACCTATTGGCCTGGAAATAATAGTCTCGGTAACATTTATGAAATTTTATAAATTATAAGCAATCGTTTCCTAATATAAGTTATATTACAAATTTTCACGATTTTGAACAACGGCCACATTGCACTAAGTATTGGTAGGTATAATGTACGCAATCGTAATATTGAAAAAGGTCCATACGGAATCGTATCATACGCAATCGTAACGCACCCGCGCACGAACGCTATAGCGGTATACCGCACAAAGATTCGCTATATCGTTTACATTAGTGCGTTCGTTCGTGCGCTCAAGGTTCGCCTCTAGATACACCTAGTATACTAAGTACCTATCAAACTGTTGTCAAGTGAGGTCGTGTTGCCAAAATCACGTGTATTTAATTTAAAAATTCAAAAATTTCTACGAGATCCTAGTAGACTCCATTTTTTTCTTTGTTTCGTTCAAGCCTCGTTTTAATTCATTGGCTATTTCCAACCAGAAGTCAATTTTTTTCTTGCCCATTTTATAATGGGGATGTTCAGGATCCCATATAATTGGTCTTGATTTATATAAATTTATAAGATGGAACATTCATCGTCCGTCCACTCCACAATTGAGTCAAAATCAAATATTTAACATAAAATACGACGCAAACAACGCATATGGCTCGTATGCCGTTCAAATTGAATGGATGGTTTGTTTGATCTTACCGCTCTTCACAAGGACGGATTTAGGTGGGGGGGTTCAGGGGGTCAGCTGACTCACAGTTAATATTTGTTGACAAAATTGGGCTCTTGGAAATTTTTTTCTCTTTTTAGACTTTGATTTGGACTCTTGGACAGTTGGCCCATCGGAGTTACTCGAAAAATGAATCCCATGTATATTCAAAATTTAAAATTTTTCAATTCATAATTTATATTTTAAATTATATCGTTTTACTAGAAAGTCAAGTAAATCATATTTTATTCCGTACGTTTGTTGCGCTAATAAAATTAGATTATATTTATTAATCGTAAATAAGTCATTATCGGTGGTATCACTAATTCTAAAATGTAATATAAATATACTTGTACACTTTTATGAGCATATTGTGTTTTTTTTTTTTACAAGGTATTTATTTCTAATTTAGTTTCATCCCTAATAAATGGCCTCTTGAAATGGCTTGACCCACAGTTCCTCGACTCTGGATCCGCTGTTATAATAATAATGCTATTTACTTATCATACTCTATAATGTTTGGTATCCAAGATTTCCAATTATATACCCACCAACCCACCCACCCCCGACGAGAGCACATGCAATTGCAACCAAGGGTAACCTGTCTGGGCGCCACTGTCTATCTCCACAAATGAACCTAGTGAAAAGAAATTAGAAAAGTATATTATATGATATGCAGTCTTGTAAAGTATTCGAATACAAGTATTTGAATACTTGTATTTAAATACTTTTTGAAGTATTTATATGTATTAATTATAGTATTTTTTAAGTATTTTGAATACTTTTTGATTTTATTTTTACCAAAATTTAAATACTTGTATTAAAATACCATAAAGTACGTTTTATTAATTTTAATTTATTATTTTTCAAAAAAATTTAACATTAATAAAAATAATATTGTTTTCATTGAAAATTAATATTATGTTTTTGTATAGTAAAAGTAGGTAATAACTAAGGTTCTGGACTTCTTGCATTTGCATGTTTTTTTGTAGTGGTCGTAGTCTATTCTAAGTGAGCTATAAATTTGTTTTATGAAATAACAAATTTAAATACTCAGTTTGAATTTGCATACTTTTGCATATTTTGTCATATTTTAAGAAAAGCACATATTTGAGCAATTTTTAGTATATTTGGGCATATTTCACATTTTTTTATTTTTATAAACGTAAAATTATCGGGAAAAATCATAATTGGATGGGCGTAGTCTGTCATATCTAACACGAACGTCTGTTGCGATGATAGTCTCTTTATCGCTTAATAATCAACCTTATTATCGACAATATCGACAATTGTAAAGTTGTGGTAAAACCTAATGAATCTTACACTCCTACAGGCTTATCTTCATATTATCATGAAACAAATATAAATTCAAACTCTCCAAAGTAATCAGTTATTAGCCGGGTATGAATTGTACAATGAAATGAAATCAGTACGTGATCGTTCGTTAATCATATCATCACGCTTACATTATTTCTTATTAACTGTACCATTTTTTTTTTACAATCATTATTTTTACAATTATTATTTTTTTTATATTAAGTACCTACCTACTTTATAGATTTTTATTTTTATAATAATAATTTATAATATACCTTATGCGTTTTTTAAAAATAAAATAAAAAATTAGATGCATATTTTAAAGCATATTTTGACGATTTTTAGTGCAAGAAGTCCCGAACCCTAGTAATAACAATGTTACCACATTACATTTTATATAGTTTTTGTATTAGAATTTTTTTAAGAAAACTGAAAATCTAATAATTTTAAAATAATTCCATATTAATATATAGTAAGTTAATACCACTTTTTATTTTTTTAGTTTTTTCATTAAAATTTAATCAATATTAGTTGAAATATATTGTTGTCCATAAATTTTGCTTACAATGATTATAAAAAAATTCGAGCGTAAGTCAATTAAAAATTTTTTACAAGCGTCTAAACTTTCAATTTTTACGAGTCTAAATTTACATCCGCATTACACTCTATGACCGAGTCCCATCCCACCCTTACTTTACATCTGTACAGCAGAGCGAGTTCCCGATTATACTTTTGACCACCCAAAGCACTAACTAGATTCACTTTGCTAACAGAAACCACCCTGTGTTTTTAAAATTGAAGTACTTTTACTGCCCCAAAACATGATGGCAGACACACATAAAAAATAATACACATATATACTAAATAATATTTTATTAGCAGCTGTGTATCATTATTATTATTATTCTACTGCTATAATATGGGTATGTAATTGATTTTTTTATCACCCGTATAATAGTCACGGATAAGTATACGGTCAGACTAGACCCGGTATCGGCCTAATTAACGTTTGGCCGAACACGGACGAAAAAAAATAAAAGTATAAAATTCAATTGTACCCGGTCACATTACATCCGAGAAATTCGGTCATTTACGGCTGATGTCGGATGAAAACAAAATATTTTGTTTTTTTTCGACCGATGCCGGGCCTAGTCTGACCATAGACTAAGATTCTCAGAAATCCGTATAGCATACCTACGCGCAGTCAAACGTCACATATTTAAATTAATTATTCTGTTATCTAGGTTATGTAGGAAATGGATTTTCGTTTTTTTCTATTGTTTAATTATTATAGTACCAATTTAATTTTCTTTTTTTTCCAAAATTCACTTTTACTTTATTGTTACTAAAGAAATATAAAATAAAAAATTAATTTCCTACATAACACAGACAAGGAGTAAATAAATCCAAACATTTTTTCAAAATGAAAATTGGACTTCTGGAAGTGTATTTTTTTTTCTTTTGCTTATTGGTCTAAATGCACGAAGAAAGGACTCACTTTCAACCGCCTTAAGTCCAAATATAGTTTAGAACCTAGATATAAATTTGATTATACACCATTAATATATTTTAGAAAAACGGAACGAGTTGTTTACAAGAGAGCTCAGATGGGTCGAATTCAGAAGACAATGACATTGATCGGCATTTTAAAGTGATATTTACAATTAATGCATTATAAGATATTTTATATTTTTTATTATAAATTTAAAAAATTTATTTATTTTTATAAAATAAGTTATTCCTAGTCTAATAATGATGATGAAATTATTTTCAGACAAGGTTTAATGATAAAAAGTTTAAAGCACATTTAATGGATAAGCAAGGCAAAAAATCTAACTTTCCGGAGCAACATTCAATTTCACGTTCAGTAAATAAAGAGAAAAATACTAAATATTTGTTAAAAGAGTCTTTACTACTTAACGAGAATTGTGGACTAAAGTAAAAATCATTAAAATTGTTAACAGATGGTTGCATCCGAATTTAATTTTAATAACCGTTTATTATAATAATTTTGTGTTACTATTTCAAGAAAAAAATACAGTAGAGTTAAGAAATATAATAATAACTTTCAAAATACCATGTTATATTTTATTAAAAATAATCATTGGAACATTCATTGTATTTATTTTAGATTTTGCATTTATTGTTTTTGGATTATAGCCAAATATTTTCTCTTAATTACTATTTTCTTATATTAACATACCTATTTGTATTTTTTTCTTGATTCAACTCAGTGGCGTACATACGGGGAGTGGAGGTTCGGGTTCAAACCCCCCAGGGGTAAAAAAAAAAAAGAAATTAGTTTTATTATTGATGACGTGAAATATATTCGTAGTTTCATTATTACGCTTTGAACTTAAAATATACAACTATACAAATATTATGATAATTAAATAATTATATTGATAGGTGTTTGAAAAGTTTTGTTAATTATGCTGTTTTTATACTACATTTATTTATTTTGGTAAACCTCCCTCTGCCTGGAGCAAGATCGAATGTACGTCATTGATTCTACTTTCCTTTTTTTTTGGAAATTTTTGCTAGGTATATTGTGTGTTCATTATAAATACTTAAGTCTTAAATCATGTTTGAGTATTTTCTTTACTAATTACTACCTACTGTAAATTTATATGGAAATATCTGGTTGAATTATATACTTTCGAAGATTGTTGATGAAAATAAGAAATAAACAAGTTCAGTTAGTTTAAATAAAATTTGAAATATGAAGACAATTTTATCCAACAAAACATTTTATACTTAATATAAATACATTTTGGCAGTAAGCGCAATTTAGTGTGTGTACGAGTATATTAAATGTAGGTATAATAAACAATATTTAACAAATAAGACTGAAACAGATATCAGATTTTTTATTGCAATTTTTATATTTTGACGGAATTCGGATTCAACCTAATTAATGGCAAACTAATTAATTCAATTATAGATGTAACTGTTCAAACATTTTAGAAAGAATAACATAAAAGATATTAAGTCAAAAAATGCACCTGTAAGACATCAATATGATGATAAAATTCATAAAACAATTACGATTAACCCTATTTCTAAAAGAAAAATCAAATTAAGAATGAAAAAATTTACAAAAAAAAAATCGAAAACAAAGTAGAACAATTTAATTATAAAGTTAATTTGTTTGGATTATATTAATTATTGGTATGTCTTATTAGGTTTAATTTACCGATTTCACCAAACAAAGTCCCAATTGAGGTTTGCATAACACATTTTCTTCAGAATTTTACTCTTCGTTTTATGCGAAATGGATTTAATACTTTAGTTGCTGAAGTTTATAATTTGCTGACAACTAATTCGCAACTAAACATAGATACTTCGCCTTATTTTTGGATTTTAACATATTTTTGTAGATTTTGCAAGTTGGGTGGAATCGAATTGAAATCAATCAGGTAGTATGATTGATATTTAATTAGTACTAAAAATAAAATAACTAAAATATTAAAACATATATAATGTATATTATAGACGAATTATATCTTTCAAATTGATTTCATTTAGTGTTCACGAAGGTCTTAAAATATCAGAACAATTAATGATAGCAAAACGGCAAAGATCTCCTGATATTCAATTACGAGTTAGACATTTGCATTTAGTAAGTTTGTATTTATGACAAATTAATTAATTAAATTAATTAAAATCTTATTTTTATTTCCCTTTTGTAATTGATATAAACTAATTTTTATTTGTTGTAGGTGATTATGTCTATTAAGGAAATAGTTCAAGTTATTAAATTTTATCTACTATCTTCGGTCTCATCTCCAATTTATTCAGAACTAATAAAAGATCTTAAAGGTAAGTTCAGTATATAACACGAATATTTAATACTTTGAAGCATATAGGTATTATATATTGTATATAGATAATATATTATTAATGCATATTAATACGGTGATATAATTTTATTTTGAATATGGGGAGATGAATATACATAAATAAATATGTTCACCTATCTAATTGCTAAAGATTCCTTCTCCTCTATAAACATAATATACTCCAGGGAGGTCCAACCTCTTATAGTTGGCGGGTCAATTTATCCTTTCATAAAAATACAAAGGGCCACCAAAGAAAAAAAAATTATATCGTTATCCAGTAAAACTTACAGTTAATAATTGTCACCTGATATAGTGAAATATCGGTATCACGAAGTCGCAAGGGACCAAAAAAAAAAGTTGACACATCGAAACTTCGAGATACCGGAGTTCAGGATAGCGAGGTTCCGCTGTAATGATTATAATAATAATAAGGACTTCCACTATCTTCCATCACAAAAAATCTAATTCATTATGACTGCTATAAAAACACGATATTTACATACGTACGTAGTGAATTGAATTCAATCATGGTTTTGGACATTACTCATTGCACGTTTACTTACATTTTATAGTAAAAAATAAAAAGTTAGAGTTAAGTTAAAAAGTTAGATAAACAATCATAAAACGATTATGTTATTATATTGTGACTTTAATTTTTAATATAAGTCTTCTACAGGAGGGAAGGTTAAAAAATGGTTTACAGGGTCGTGGGTTGAACCACCCTGACATACTCATTAAACGCTGGCAGTGTTTATATTTTATACCTAGATTTCAATTATCTAATAACATTTTTTGTTGTAGTTGAAAATATATATCATATATCAAAGTTATATAAATTTTACGTTATATAATTATTATATGTAATACTAAAAAATGAATATTAATAACAAAATAAATGTTATAAAAAAAATTATCTTAGTTATCTATAAAATTTAAAATTCAACTTCTCGTGAGTTAGTTCATTGATAGCTTTACAAGCAGGCCCATATTTAAAAATTTGGTGCCCCCGGGCATATAATTTATGCCCCACCCCCAAAAAATAAATAATAATAATATAACACTTATTATTTTGTCAACAATTGAAATTCTTTAATATCGTGTATTCACCAATTTAGGGAACACTGAATTTTTCGGCCGGATTATGCTGGAATAAATCGAATTTTTTTTTACAAACTAGTGTTATTTAAATACTTATTTTCAGATAAATTTCAAATTTTTAACCCTCTCGGTACGCGCAATGCAAATTATTTTTTTTGAATAGCAACCGGTATTTTTAATACCAAATTCGGATAGACTGATTTATTTAAGTCATTTTGACCAACTAACCATGGCTCTAAAATCAAAATTGACTGAAGAGAGTCATTTAAATTTTAATAAATAATACATTTTTACTATTCATTATAAAATGCATAAAACCATTTATAATTATTTATTATTGGTCACTTTTTAAATATTTTTACGTTTTTTTTTTTTTTTTTATACGTTTTATAAAGAAGATTAACATAATATGGATATACAATTATTTAATTAAAATCGATTACATGGTTTTATGCATTTTATAATGAATTGTAAAAATGTATATATTAAAATTTAAATGGCTCTCATTCAGTCAATTTTGGTTTTAGAGTCATGGTTTATTGGTCAAAATATCTTAAAAAAATTCAGTCTATTCGAATTTAATATCAAAACTATGGGTTGCTATTTAAAAAAAAATAAATTGCATGGCGTATGCGCGTACTGAGAGGGTTAAAAATTTGATATTTATCTGAAAATATGTATTTATATACCTCTAGCTTGTAAAAAAAAAAATTAGATTTATTCCAATATAATCCGGCCGAGAAATTCAGTGTTTTTTAAATTAGTGAACACACGGTATTAAAATATAATTTATAAATGAAAATCGTTTAATACTTTTTTTAATTAACAAATTAAACAAATTATAACATTATAAAATACAATTTTTTTTTAATTTACAAATAATCACATTATATTAACATAATATTTTCTTTTTATTGTTTTATTTTATTTTCATTAGATACATCATTTTTAAAATTAATTTTGCTAAAATATTTTGCCGCCCCTGAGACTTGACGCCCCTGGGAATGTGCCTACCCGTGCTCCTCCCCTAAATACGGGCCTGTTCACAAGGATAATTTTGAAATATTTTATGTATCCCAGTTGCTGTCATTACGAAAATATTTGTAAAGTTACATAAAATATAAATTTCGAAATGCTAAACAGACGCAATATCTTATATTTGTTATAGAAAACGAGTTTTTAATATATTCTTTACCTCTTTACTTTAGATTTGTTTCAAAAAATATTATAATTATTTTGAAAGTTGAAAACACGTTCTGTAGGCTATTTAATTTAGGGTGGCCAATCGTCCAAGTTTACTGTAAAGTAAACATATAATGTAAAGTACCGTATTTCAAAATTTGTTCCTTTGTCACAATAAAACTTTCGGGACGCTAAATTGTCCCATTTTATAAAATTATATCTAATTCATCAGGGCTCCGAGATGTTATTTGTAATGTTATAATGGAAAAAATTAAAAAAATACTAAACGAAATCAATGAGGTAATAAAAAACGACAATAATTGGATACCAATATAATATATCATATTATTAAAAATAATTAATAAACATAAAAAAAAAATTGCAAATGTTATTCAAAGTAATATGTATGCTTTTTTTTTATGTTGAACCGGACATTATTTTTAAATTTTATAATTATGAAAAATTCAAATTTGATTAACCTATTTTGACAATAATTTATATTTTCCGAAATATTTTATGGAAGTTTTGTTTATAAACATTGATTGAATTAGTTATTATATTAGTTTATTTCTATTATTCAATTAATTATCTGCTTATGTCGTATATGTTCAATTTAATTGGTAGAAAAATGCAGATGAGTTGTTTGGTATTTATATAATATAATTTCAAGTTTGATTATAGTTGTAGATAGTGATATATTGCTAAAATAAATCATGGGTATACGCCTCATTTCATGTAGCAACTATCATATGGTAGGAACCAAAAAAACTCACTCATGAACTACATATTCTTAATTATGACTGATAATAGAAAATGATAACAAATTTGAATTTTTCATTAAAAAAAAATAATAATAATAATAATATATCCGATATTGAATCACGTCATAAATATAACCACAAGTTAGGTTAGTCTAGGTATTATGTAGTTATTTGTCAAATTACAAGCTATATGCTACATACGGCCATATACCCGCGTATCATAAGCTTTTCATAAGCTATACGCTATGGATAACAGGGGCGGTTCTAGGGGAGGGGTCCCTAACCACGGTCCCTTACCAAGCCCGTAAAATATTTATAAAAAAATGTATATTGTTAACAAAAAATGCATTTATAATATTTACTATCATACGACACGCACAAGTATGTAGATAGAGCCATAGAGGTATGACGGTTGAAAGAAGTTTCTCCACACTTCGGAGACTAAAAACCTGGCTTCGATCAATAATGACTGAGGATATACTATCAGCATTATGTCTAATTAATGTATACCATAAAGTAGATATTCTAGATCAAATAGATCATATTAATGATATTTTTGCCAATTTTAAAAATAGACGACTTTAATTTGTGTTGTAAAAAATATTGTTTTCTTTTTGTTATAAGATTTTGTAAAATTATAAATTGACTCCCCCCTCCCTAACCAAGACTCTGGAGCCGCTCCTGATGAATAAGAATAGCGTATGTGTACACGCCGTATACTTCCGTATACCCTTCAATACACCACTGGTTGTAGTTATTTCGTTAGTTCACCGAGCCACGAATCAAATACACTGGCTTGATATACTATACGCGACGTAGGAACGCTCATGCTCGCCTATATCTGATACAGCTCGACGAGGTTCGTAGCTATCTGAAAATTATCGGTCCGTTGAGTCCATGCCAAAGGTAACGAGCTGCGTATTTAAACCAGCGTTCCCACAGACAGAACCAGATTAAACATTTGTGGACCCTAGGCAATTAAAATCTTGGGCCCTACAAAATAATTTTTTACATAGATCTTTAACATTACTATCCAATAATTAAAACAAACAGCTTTAATAATAACCAACTATTATTAATAAATAAAATCATGTTTATTAATTTTTTTTATTTGCAAGAACAATTAATTAATTATTATATTATTTCTATTTTTTTCAAAATAATTTTATTATTATTACTGCCTACAACTTAATGTATATTATATTTCATAATGACTTTTGTCCCATAAATTCGTAAATAAACAGGTATTATTAAATAAAAATATAGTTTTCTGTTTTCATAGGGCCCCTTAAATGAGTGAGGCCTTAAGGCGGGTGCCTTCTCCGCCTAATGGGTAATCCGGCACTGCCCACAGGCACCCGATTCGACGAGCCTGTATAATATAGTGGATTTTTATTTTATTACATGTGAGCATTTTGATTATACATTTAACATTGACATATATATTTTTGTTTTTTTAAATTTGAAGTATTTGATTATTAATATACTTTATAATATAACTGAACTAAATAAAAAATAAAAAAAACATAGAATGGTCCAACGATGAAGTTCTATAGTTTTTGGAATTATATGAAGCCCAACCACAAATTTAGTTTATCAAATAATTATTTTTTTTTTCATATACTACTTCATAATACCGTACTTTATATCACCGTACTTTACAAAATACGCAACTGCACAATCAGCAATTTGCGTCTGATCTAGAGAACTAATTATTTTAAACTGAAAAATTCAGCTGTTTAATTTTGAAGGAGCTCTGATCGACTCGGGTAAGCTCGAGGCGGTTCAACACGATTGCGCAATTTTTTCTTTTTTGACCTGACTAATTACACCACGATTGCGCAACAAATTTGCGACACGATTCCTTTTTACTTGATAAAATCACAACATCATTGCGCACCAAATAATATGTGTATATACAATGTAGGTATAATAATTTATGTACAACATAAAATAATGTATACTAAAACTTTCTATAATGTGCATATACATGCACTCAAACTATTAATTCACAAAATGCACTTTTTCAAAATCGAAATGAAAAGCTGATTGAGCTAATGATAGTTATAGTAAAAATATCGTCTAATGACTATCAGTATACAATAAAAAAACAATTTTTAATAAAAATAATTTCGACTAATGGCCTTGTCAGTAATACATTTAGCATACATGTAATTTAGAAAAAAAACAATGTTTAAACAAGCCAACGATGATAATTTGTTGATAGTCCTACGCCTGTAATAATTAGGAAGAAAAATTGTGTATTAATAGGTAATAAGTTTGAGTTCATATACATAAAAATTATATGTAGAAGTATGTATTTTATACATTATTTTATATTGTACATAAATTATTATACCTGTATAGTATATACACATATTATTTGGTGAGCAATGGTGTTTTGATTTTAACAGGTAAAAAAAGTATCAGGGTGCAATCGTGTGCAACCGCTCGTAGTTCGTCAAGTTGCGTACTGTGGGAATGAAGTAGACATGTAGGCTTGTGATATGCCGAGCGTAGAAATAGTCTTGGCACAACAAGCACGCCGCTCGAAGTTCGCCGAGTCACGCACCGTGAAAATCCACCTTATGTTTACACCAACCTTTCGTCTATTACAATAATATTTAATTTAAAACTAGGCAGTAGATTATTTCTTATTCATACCATTATACTATTTTTTTAAGTGCTCAGAGTATCAGATGTAAATGTAATAATATTAAAATATTTGTTTAACTAATAAATTAATAAATATTACTTTATAGTTTACTAATGTTCCCAATATTTACACTTATTTAATACCAGCTAACTAACACTAACTTATTAGTTAACTAATTTCGATAAACTCTAGGATAATTGAAACTAACCTAACTTAACCAACAAATAACAATAGAATTTATCAAAAAAATATATCAACTCCCTCTTTATTTTTAAATTATAACGTTAAACAGAAAACAAAAAGTTAAAATAGTGCTTAAAAATATAATAACGTAAAACGGAAAAAATCAAATAACGTACAATAATGTTAAACACTAAAATTGTTTAAATAACAAAAATGTAAAATCAATATATTATTTTTTTTATTTAAGCCCCAATTTTCATGTACAGAAAAATATCTGAAGAAAATTTCGTAAATAAAAAATATTATCTTCATCTATTTGTTTTAAATATAAATTACAGAGCATAGTATTTTATTTATTTGTAGAATAATATTTTATAGCTACATGTTTAGACATCGATTATTATATAGCATATACTCGTATATAATCAGGGCCGGATTAAAGGGTAGGTAAAATAAGCAATTGCTTACGGCCCAAAAAAAAATTCGGCCCATAATTTTTAAAATCAAATTTATATATATTTAAAATAAAATTTAAGAATTTTTTTCTCATGAGTAGTTATGAAGTAATGATTTTATATCATAAATAATTTAATATTATGGTTATCAAATTTGTTGTAAACTTGTAACTGTGATTTGTATCAATTATTTCGTTATTCCAACTAATGTTCCAAAAATATTTCATCATATTAATTTACCTTTATGATGTGATCAGTACTCAGAAGTTTATTAGTTTAATACTATCGCAACTCGGGTTTTTCCTAAAAATAATATTAAATAAACAAAATTATAATAATGATGATATTTAATATATATATAATTAATAATTAAATAATGTAATAATAAAGAAAATTATGTGTAGGCCATTTATATGAATATGCTTACGGTTCTAAAAACTATAATCCGGCTCTGTATATAACCGATCTGTAAGTATTTTTTGGAAATGCCATTGTTTATTTATTATTAAGAAATTAAAATTTATTAATTTCATTAAAAATAAATGTTTATTCATAATAAAAATTTAAGACTTATCTTAGTCTCGTATTTTTGTATTTTATATTTGACCACCCTAGATTAATATCTAACGGTAAACTATATATAACTTTGAAGATTTACAAAATGAGCTAAATGAATTAATTATCTTATTTTCATTAGTTTTCGTAAACATATGGGGTCGGCGTCTTTTATGGTTATTATATTTGGCTTATCTTTGTAAATAATTCTCTTCCACAAATATTTAAATATAAAAAATAAATGTGCGACTGAAGACAGCAACTTTAGTGCCGGGATTGGTATTATATTTTATAGCCTATAGGTAATTTTCTTATTCACATACATACACAACTATAAATTAAACATGAAAAAATCTATATTATATATGAATACAGGATGAATATAATCCTCCCCCAGTAGCACTGAACTCAGGGTTCAAGTACAGACCATAATTTTTGGGTGGTGGTTGGTACCGTGGTGAATCAGTATACGATTAATAATTTAATTAATTCAACTAACTATAAATTATAATACTACCCATTTAATCATTACTAATTAAGATGTTTAAGTAACTAAATGCAATCATAAATGCTGAAATAGGTTAAAAAATGTTGGGAGGGTGTGAATTACTAACCCATTAAAGTACGTCCTTAATACTAACCTAACCTAACTAGACCATTCAAAACGTTGTAAGTAATTTCTCCATCTTCGCGAATATGCCACTTTATTAATATATTCATGTTGTATACAGTGCTCGACTTGAGGGGGGACGCAGGAGGACGGAGTACCCCAACTAATTTGTAGAAATTTTAGCGTCCCCTACTATTATTACGCTATTATCATAACACTTAGCCAGTTTTGGGAACGTTATTTTCTTTAAAGTAAATAGAGTCCCCCTCCTTTAATTTTGCCAAGTCGAGCACTGGTTGTATATATACTAAATACATCATATTTAGGGTTGCCATACATTCCGGAAAACCGGGATTGTAACCGGTTTTGGACTTCGGGTCCCGGTGTCCGGAAAAATGTTTTTAAGACGTCTATTTGTCCCAGTTTAAACATTTAGAGGAAATTAGCATTGTTTAATTTTTAATTTCGACGATTTTATCTAAAAGTACATTTTTAATCGCAATAAATTAACAATATATAATAAAAACATAATTTGTAATTTACACATAAATATTAAATATATTTTATTTTACATAAATATTTTAAATATTATGTTGCCTTCAATTAATAATCCTCTCAATATATTTAAAGTTATCTGTATAAAAAGTATATTATACAATAATGTGTTTGTTTTGTCTCGGTTTCGCCTTATAAATTTATGGCAACCCTAGTCATATTACATAATGTATCTATTTATTATATAAATCTCATAATGTACTCGATTTACTTATGTTACGTTATTGAATGTTATTTTCCATCAAGGCAGCAACTCATCCGAATCAATTATTTGGGCAAAAGACCTCATGTCAATATTCTTATTGTGTATTCGACATTATGATAGCAACATCCAACCTATTGAATACTTACATGATTTAATTATAACAAATCATATTGTATTATCATTATTTGATAATCTTAAAGATTTTTGGAATTTAAATTATAGTATTACCTCGCACATCAAAAAGTAAAATACATATAAATACAACATAATAATTGGTATCAGGGCCGGATTTACTTAAAAGGCGCTCCTAAGCTAATAAAAAACAAACGCCCCTACTTCTTGGAACATTACATAATTTATTCGATAAGAGCTGAGAGTTCCTCTCCTTATTATTTTACCGATTTCATGGTTATACAAAAATGTTTAATGGATTAAATTTAAATTTTTTTAAGTCAACCTAAAAATTAAGTCTACAATTTTTGTTGATTAAGATACTAGACCAGAAGGGCAAAAAAAAATACATTTTATTATGATAGAAAAAAAAAATTATTCTTGATATATTTTATTAAATAAAAAAATAATTAATGCATTTTTTTCATTCATAATACTTATTAATTAATAATATTTATATTTGGCGCTTTCTTGACTTAGTTGCTGCAAACGTATTTATTAAGTCGTTGAAATTCATAGATTCTAGTAATTCTAAATTCGCACTAATTGACGCTAAATTAGATACCTTTGCATCTGAAATGGAATTACTTTAATTCTTTAAAATACTAAATGATCTTTCACCAGTTGCATTTGAGGGAATAATAGTTAGATACATTTTCAAAGCAGTGTCTAAATTTAGAAACGTTGCAATAATTTTGTTTTTTCTTAAAATTTTCAAAAATATGTCGGGAGATTTTTTATCTGACTCCTCTATTTCAATCTCATTTAAAAATTGCTTGAAATATAAACATTCCTCATAAAGTTCATCTTCTAGATCATTGAAATATTTTTCAACTAATCTTTTAGTTCTTTCTTTTAATATTTTCAGGCATATAAATAGCAAGTCTGAAAAAAAATTAAATAGACTACCAAGTTTAGTGTAAGATTTTAATTTTTCTGATAATTCTAGGACCAGTTTGTCAATTATCACAAAAAATGTATTTATTTTCATAGCTTTTTTTCCTTCTAAAATAATTTCATTTTCAATATATTTATCTAACCGTTTAGAAATATTTCTAATAATATAAAATATAAACGTAATAATAGTATCGTGTTATGTTCAATAATATTAAATATAAATGTATAATTGTCCAATTTTCCATTAGTGGATCTTGGTGATTTGACACTGTAATGAGTAATGAATAATTAATTCGTAATGCGATAAAAATTAGAAAATATAACTCAAAATAATAAATAAGTCCACCTAACTAAAACGGCCGTCGATGCCAAAAGTATTATAATTTGCCGCTCGAATTATGATATAATTAGATTTATAGACACAACAAAAACCTGTTTTTATATTACAGTGAAACTTCCACTAACGAACGCCTCCCAATAGCGGACGTTTTTTGAGCAATGGGAACATTTTCACTTCTTTTCAATGGGTAAGCCTCCGAATAACGGACTCTTTGACTAACGGACATTATTTTAATCTTTGTTTGAAAATAATATTTATTCAAATTCGTATGTACTCTCGTCATAATGTAATTACAATAACAAACTCGTTATGGGACGTTAAGATTACGACTCTTAGGATGCTTTGTCTGCTATAAAGAGCATAAGTCATTTTATTTCGTCAATAGAGGTAAAGAGCAGTTCTATTTTTACTTCTGCTTTAATATTAGCAAATGATATTACTAATGAGATTGCACAAAGACGGTGTAGTTATAAACAAACAAAGCTCACTGATTTTTTCAAACAAAAATAAATTAAAAATACATGTATATACATCATTTTGATTTTGGTTGTAAAAATATATCTTAAATAATAATAATTAATAATAATTTGTAAACATATAAAAATGTAATAATTTACAATAAATAATAAGTAATAACATTATACATAAATACATACATACTAAATTTTTATATAAATAAATTTCAAAAGTATCCCCTCTGAATAACGGACACCTCCGAATAACGGATAAAATTTTGGTGACCGAGAGTATCCGCTATTCAGAGGTTTCACTGTATATGCAATTTTCAATATATCACATACTTTTGATACGATGATGGTCACGCCACATTTACCATGAACAATCACGTTATGTATATACAGGGGCGGCTCCAGGGGGGCCCAAGGGGCCGTAGCCCCCCTCTCAAGTCCGTACCGTATTTATAAAATAATGTATATTGTTAACAAAAAATGCATTTATAATATTTACTATCATACGATATGCACAAGTATGTAGATAGAGCCATAGAGGTATGACGGTTGAAAAGAGTTTCTCCACACTTCGGAGACTAAAAACCTGGTTTCGTTCAATGATATCTGAAGATAGACTATCAGCATTATGTCTAATTAATTTATATCATAAAGTAGATATTCTAGATCAAATAGATCATATTAATCATATTTTTGTCAATTTTAAAAATAGACGACTTGAATTTGTGTTGTAAAAATTGCTGTTTCCTTTTTGTTATAAGATTTTGAAAAGTTATAACTTGGTCCCCCCCTAACCAAGGCTCCGAAGCCGCCCCTGTGTATATATATTTACTACAGCGAACTAATTTAAAATAATTAACATTATTCATTACTAATATTTAAGTTCAACTACGAGTATATAAATTCCCATAGATGGTAAATTCAATTTGCAGATAGTAATTATATTATCTAGTATCTACAAAAAGAAATTTATTTCACCATCCACGGCATAGCGCCCCCCAAGTCATGGCGCCCCTAAGCTATAGCCTAGGTAGCCTAGTCCTAAATCCGGCCCTGATTGGTATGTGATGTAATGAAATGATGAAAACTACAAAATGCAATGTTATAGATTCGCGGCTCCCGATATAATGTATAAATATGGAATAGTTTTACAAAACTACAAAGGAAATAGCGAATTGGTAAACGATGCCGTTCTTACTATGATCCACCATATAATCGAAGAGATGGGAAATTCCTCAGTTTTCTTTCCACCAATTATTTTCAAAACGTTTTTAAACCTTTATGTCAAGAAAGAATATTTGAGTAAAGTAAGAATAATATATTATAATTTGTTTAGGTTATGATTAGGGCCCGGATTTTAATCAGTGGTATTACACTGGTACTTGAACAAATAACGACTTTTTGATCAGTTGTTGTTACATTGTGATTGCATTTATTTTGTACATTAGTGCCAGGTATTTAACGTTTATTATTACGAGTACATAGTATATTTCTTTGAGCGTGCCATAGTACCGTATTTTTTCGATTAGTTGCAGTGACAGCTCGTGCTATGGTAATACATGATCGTTTGGAGCACAATCAATGTGTGATCTGGACTTATTTTTATCGTTTCGCGTATTGTGTCGATCATGGAAAAAAGATTTTGTGTTTGATATTGATATTGAGGGCTCTAGTTAACGTCCGTTTTTTTACCGGATACTGGTCCGGTGTAAAATGGATGGTTTTGTCGATGAAACGTTAAAATAACGGATATACTTCCGTTGCCTGTAATATTTTATCGATTACCGGTAATTAAATTTAATCAGTTCCAAACTTTGATGTATTATTTTGTAGATGCCCATCCATGCCGTAAAATTAAGATGTTTAATTTTGTAACTTTCTGAAGTTTTATCCCAAAGCACAGTTCTATTTTCAACCAGGAAAATCAACATTTTAATATCGATTTTCATTTTTAAGTTTAAAGTTTGATTTTAATCTGAAAATTTAAAAAAAAAACGGAGTGAATACCCTCGTTGTCAACACACTCGTATAGATTGGCGTGGTTCACTGCAACGTGCCGGCGTCTGGTGTCCCGAGGGGACAACGTACGACAATCCGGTTCTTATCAGATAACGGATGGTTGTCCGGTGCATAAACAAATAAATATACTAATCATTGACGGATCCAGAGTCGGGGAACTGTGGATCAAGCCATTTCAAGAGGCCATTTATTGGGGATGAAACTGAATTAGAAATGAATACCTTGTAAAAAAAAATAATAATCTAATTTTATTAGCGCAACAAACGTACGGAATAAAATATGATTTACTTGACTTTCTATTAGAACGATATAATTTAAAATATAAATTATGAATTGAAAAATTTTGAATATACATGGCATTCATTTTTCAAGTAACTCCGACGGGCCAACTATCCAAGAGTCCAAATCAAAGTCTAAAAAAAGAAAATTTCCAAGAGACCAATTTTGTCAACAAATATTAACTGTGGGTCAGTTAACCCCCTGAACCCCCCCTAAATCCGCTCCTGAAACTAATTTATGCAGCACTGTTGCAGAAAACGGACCGTTGTACTTTGCCGTTAACAAGAACTCTGATGATCATACATAATAAGTTATTCTTTTCTTATTTATTTTTATATTACCGTAACGAAAAGCATAAGAGAGCTTTAGAAAGCTTAAGAAAATTCAATATTGATAATTACGTTTTTATACTATTTCACTATAATTACTATTTTTATACTATATGTACCTATAGGTCCTATACCTACCTGTATAACAAAATTAATACTTTTGACCTGCCTACATAGGTATCTTACAAATTATTCGTGTACCACTTTATGTGAACCTCACGGGCCGTCACTGTTTAGTTTATTTTAAGAAGTGTTACAAATGCAAAAAGTGAATGATTTTAGTGAAGATGTCTTAACAACAGACGGATTCTCAGTAAAACTTTTAATATCAAAGCTGTAGTTGAAAGAACAGTTCATACGACATATGTATTTTAAAATAAAAATATACAATATAATTCAAATCGATGAAAACTAAAAATTTTAAAATATCAAATGTCTAAGTTTTGTCGGTATTACCCAATAAGAGTTACTAATTTAATGACAAATAATTAATTACCTTAGAATAACTTCTTTGAGTAATAAAATGTAGGTTTAACTAATTTTTTATAACATTATTGTGATCAAAAAGGCATTTTTCATGGACACTTTCAGCTATTTTGAGAAGATATTTTTATAGTATTCAAGGCATTTAAAAACGGGTCCTATATATGAATTATAACTAAACGGTATGATATGATTAATATTATTTTATTTTTATTTAGAAGTGGTCTGATTTAATAGAAGACGTTATACTATAATGGTTAAAGTAAAGCAGTTTCAACGTCTATCAAAAACCAAAATGAAATATTTAAAACTATTTACAGAAACCCCAATTACGTCTAAATTTAGTTTATAGTATTACAAGGGCTCGGATTTATATTTAGATACATATATGTATTTTTACAAATGATAAATTTAATTTAATATAAATAAATATAAATATATATAAATAATAAATAATTTCCTAGTTATATTTGATTTTATATGTTTTTACATACCTACATCGTTGTAATTACATATTTTACATATTTCACAAAATTCCATTCTCTCTCACATATTTTGACGGATAGTTTGAACTACAACTTATTTTTAAGATAATGTTTTAACGACTTGAATACCAGATATTACCTAATCGAAGTTTTAAGTATAAATTTTTTAGTTTATCACTATCATTATAGTTATCCGAAATGTGGGCATGACGTTACGATTCATAGCGCATGATTCGTAGTTAAGTTTTGTTTTTTGTTTTAACAATTTTACCGCTGAATCAGTGATGCTTTGAATTAGAAAATTTAAAAATGCAATTAAGATTATTAGTTTTTTTATTATATTTCTTAGTTAATGTAATTTAACACTGTTATAATTTGTCAATTAGCTACTCGTATGACATTACATATTCATGTAATAAATAAATCATAATAATACTATACATATTTTAAGTTTCTTACAACATATTTATGTACTTATTTTGGTTGTATAGATAAATGTTTTTTGTATTTATGTTGATATAAATCCGAGCCTTAGTTATGAGTTAAGAAGAATGTAAAAGTTTGAACTAGTTGATTTTACTTAAAATCACATAATGTATGTTTAACATTTTTAATTTAATCTTATTTTTAAAAGTATTTGGATTAAAATATTACTTTATACATATACATTTTTATTGTAATATTCTTAAACGTCTAAAAAATATGGTAACTCACTTATATACCCACAGAAAAATCTAATAAATTTATATTTTTGTAATACATGTATTCTTTATAAGCATTTAAGTTGGAGATATTACTATATTTATGTAATATTTGTTCTACTCATGCGTATTTATCTGTGCAATGTTTGAGCATTACATAATTATGCCATATTTTATTCTATGTAATTTCCAGCATTACATTATTATTCCATAATATTTTTTTAAAATACAATTTCGATTTTTGTGGCAACGCCACCTGATAAGTAATCTGAAAACTGAATGAAATGGTTTAATGTTTTAATATATATTTTGTACTTGAATAATTTTGAAATTTGTATTATCATTGTGGAACCGTATTGAATGCATTATTATTACAGTGAAGGATAATATATTGGTATAACATTTATTATTTTTAATAAACCTCAAATTGATAGTTAGCCTCGGCCAATTTTTTTTTCAATAGTTATTATTTTAAAACATTTAAAAATGACTTTAAAAAGTACGAATAAATGATCTAAAAATGATGGAAAATTCCTGCAAAAAATTATCAAATAATTAAATAAATTAACTTTAGTCAGTAAAAAAAGGAAAAAACTTAAATCTAATTTTTTAATAATTTTTTTTTAACATCTAGTTAAAAATTGTAATTTAAATATAAAACGTCAATACATTAATAAAAATATTTAAAAAAATAAAAATGAAACCCAATAAAATGTATTACATTAGACAATTATTGTGTGCTTGATATTTCTAAATTGAATTATCAGTTATTATCAGATAGTAAATTTTAATAATTTAATTTAAATTTAGAAACTTCTTTCTATATCTACTGATATAATCGGTACAAATTGAAAATTAGCCAAATCGTAAGCATCAATGCCTCAAACCTCAAAGTTGTCAGAAAAGTTTTTATTAGGTGCTTTTCCACTATTTAAAGTGTTTTAAATTGTCATTGATACAAAGCTCGTGTTTTTATCCAATACGGAATTTAATTTTTTTGAATATTTTATTTTCTGCTAGTTGAATTTTATTTTCTACAGTTTGTACGGTTTCAATCGAACGATAAAAACTAAGCCCAAATGTTTCTAACTGAACTATAGAATCACTCAATGTTCCAAAACTAGAGTATATCAAGTGACTTATTAATTACTATCGTTCATGAGATTTTGAGCTTTTTCAATTGATTTTTCAATTAAGTGTCTTCTTTTTTTAAGCCAAGAATTATTTCTTTTAATGTTTTAAATTGTTTACAGTAATAACTCCTGGAATTTAGCTACGCCCCCCATAAAAAACCACTACACGAGACATATTAATACTAATTTGTATTTTACAAAATATAGTGGCTACAATATGTTTTAATTTCTAGCGCGAAATAATAATTTTATTGAATTCAGTAATATGGCTTTATCATAATAAAGCCAACGAAAAACAAAATAATAGGTATGGTTAAATACACCACGTTTTAAAAAAGTTTTCCGAGTTATATTGCCCGACCGCGACGAGTAATTTAAAAGTAATTTTCATTTTCATAACACTGAATAACTCATGTTTAAAAATAAATTAAAGCATAATATTTTCACATGATTGTTATCTCCATCTTACAAATGTTCACATAACAAATTTGCAACCATCTAAATGATATTAAAGACCACAAAAATGACCTATTAACTACAAAAAAGCCAAAAAATACAAAATGAAAATGAGTTAAATATATTTACATAATAAAGAAACATATTTTTAAATAAAAAAGTATCGTCTAAAGTTTAAAAAAAAAAAATGCAAAATGCATCAACATCTGAGCCTTAACTATTACTACGAAGTATCAATATTTGTAAGACACCTTATATAAAAATGTATTCTCTATTTATTTAAACTGAATTCAAATTATAATAAAAATTCGATTTCAAAATACAAATACATTTAATATAATTCTACATCAGTTTTTTAACGTCAATAATAATAATAATTTATTTGAAAAAAAAAAATTTACAATAAATGATAATGCCCTTTGTGGGCACAGACGACAGTAGGTAATATAAATAAATGTCTTATAACAAATTCAGAAATATGGGAATAACAATATAAAGTAATGTGGAAATTAATCTTATAAATTAAATATAGTTTTAATTGATTTAATTTATACAAACGAATAAGTTATTACTTGGATATTTTTCCAACTTGCTTGATAATTCAAAAAAAAAAATTAATGTTATTAATTGAATTTCTATTTAACATTTAATAAAAATCTATATAGAAGGACATAACGACTATAGTTTAGTAATAAATAATAAAAAATTTAATTAAAATTAAATATTATTAAATTATTAATAGTAGAGTAAATATTAGAGTCTCGATTTTATTGAATTTGTTTATACCTGAGGATGCATTTTTAATTTGAAACATATAGATGAAAGAAAATATGGACCACTTTTTATTTCAAGTTTTAATAAGGATAGTATATAAAATATTTCAATCATTAATAGCATAAATTTAAATATCATACTTTTTTTCTTTATGGAAAAATTACGAATGTGTTGTTACTTATTCTGTATGAATTGGAGATATAAATATAAGGATAGAAACATAACGGTCGGTAATGTAAAACTATTTGATTTGATAATTCAAAGTTTATATTTTGGTGATCTATGTATAATATAGCTATAATGTAATGCTTTATAAAATATTTTTTCTTTTAATTTTTAACAGTAAAAAAATGAAACAAATTAATGCACTGTATGTTTGTACTTGGGCCTCTATGGTTATTAAACATGAAACTTGTTTATATTTACTAGGGAAAACTTTTTATAATAGTTGCATGTGTACAAACTAATACAACTTATACTTAAAATTTAATTATAAAATAATATATTAAAAAAACTGTATTTAAAAAAAAATTGCATTTCTACCTCCACTTAGTAGGTATATAGTTTATCTAAAAGTAAAAAATAATATTTTTGAAAAACAACTAAAAATAAAGATTTTATTAAATTCTGACAAATTAGTACTTATATAGAAAATATATCATAATATAACTAAATTTTAATTTTGTTTCAAATTATCATAAATACTTAAAATAAATTACAAAATAATTGTAAATGTAAGGTGCTCGAATTATTAATTATTGTAAATTTAAATTTATGTAACTTATAACTATAAAATTAAATTTCAAATGATATTCTTCATTTTCAATAAGTGTTATTTCCTTTATTGTGTACTTGTTACCATGAATTTTCAAGACTTTTAATTATTTTAATTTAATATTTATTCAGAATTGTGATTAATAAAACAATTATATTAATGAGTACTAAAAAAGTTATGTTTAACATTTTTAAATAGCTATTTATTTTTATGTTATATTTTATTTTTAATTTGTATGTTTAAATAATTTGTTTATTAGTTGTTAAATTTCATAAATTATTAATTCCAAAAATAGAAAATTGAATTATTATTATATAAACTTAATTTGTATTTATAGTTGAATGTATTACTTTTATTGCATATTATTAGTTAACAATTATATTAATGTTATTAACAATGATAATGATAAATAAAATATATATATAATAATGAATACAATTTGTAGTGTTTCTAATACATGCAAGTAACAAGTTATGCATTAGTATATTCCACTAAGCAACTACCCAAATTTTAGAAATAGCATACTTCAAAAACTATATGACTGCTCTAAAAAACAATCTAAATCAATGAAATATTGATCACATTTAACCATATATAAATATTTACAACATATAAATTAATAAATCAAAAGTTTATCTACAAAAAGAACATATTGGATATACATTACAGCTAATAATATTTCTAGGGACACTATTTTGCAGCAAGTTTAAGTATTTAAAAGTGTTCAAATCAGTGATAATTATCTAATTACTCTTCTTAAACTGATTTTATATAAACTTTTGTCTAAATCACATAAACTATGATTGTATCTATTAAAATTATTTTACTTTGATATTTTCATCATCATTAATATTTATTCAATTGTATTATTTTGAGTTTTATAATTCAGTGTAAAAATTAATTGATGAATTTTTCTTAGATAAAATTGTACCTTCTTAGAGCTTTGGCTTACTCTAGCAGAAAGCTTTATAAGAGAAAAAATAAATATAGTAAAAATAAGTACAATTTTTCTATTTATCACTTGTAACATATGTATTAAAATTATGGTAATCTATAAATTCAATAATTTATTTTATTAAATTATTATATGCATTTTGTATTAGTAATAGAGGTTTTTACAACAGTTGTATATTTATTCATCAAGAAGATGTATTTAAGTTACTTAAATACATTTTTTAAGTAACTACCTACCAAAACATGAACATATAAGTAATTTATCTGCTTCAAAAAGAAAAAAATGTGTTTAAAAACTACTAAAAATAAATGCCTATTGCGTAAATAGACATAATTCAATCATTTTAGACAAAAGATTGTTAGTTGTCATAATAATTAATACAATAACTCTAATATTTATTAAATAAATGTGTGTTCTTACGTGATAATGTGATATCAGTAGCATAAACAACAAACACTGAGATAGTATTTTATCCAGCTCAGTAGCAACAAGACGCCTTATCATCAAGTTTTTTTATAAAAAAGAGCTTATTAACTAATCAGCTCGACAGTTATGTATCTAAAGATATGATAAATAATATTTAAAATAATGATAAGCGATATATACAACATTATAACCAAGTTATTAGTATTATAATCACTAAGTTTATTTACCTATGTAAAATTGATAGCATTCGCTAGACTAGCATGAATCAAGTGATATTAAAATAATAACTTCAATATTCCCAAATGCGTAGTGTATCTAAGGTGAGTAAATAATATTCATAAAAGTTGTTGATATAATTTTCTTCACAAATGTATTTAATCATTTGGTTCAAGGAATTATATTTTTTGGTCTAATATCCAGTCGGGATTCGATCGGTTTCGATGGGGATCTGGTGCTGCATAAAATCTATTGTATTTAGCGCGACCATTGGACAAACGATAATCGACACATTTGGTACTGTGGCTAGAGTTGATGGTATTTCCATGCAACCTACGTTCAATCCAAACACCACAGTGGACTTAGTATTCATGTCATATCTGCCAGTACGTTTTGGTACTATTAAACGTGGCGATATTATCATAGCTATATCACCCAGGAATCCAAATGAAACCATCATTAAGCGAGTGGTTGGCATTGAAGGTGATGTATTAGTTTTAAAAAAAAGTAACAATTCAAGTATAAGAAGAGTTGTTCCAAAGGGATATTATTGGATTGAAGGTGATCATAAAGGTCATACATATGACTCTACTAGTTTTGGTCCAATTTCTAAAGGTCTTGTTATTGCCAAAGCTCCAGCTATAGTTTGGCCACCCAGTAGATGGCAGCTAATATAATCTAAGCTCCATTAATGAGGTAACATTATATTATTTGGTTAAAGCGATAAAAAATTATAATATTATGATAAAATAATATTAGTAATTTATTAAATAAAATAAGTATTTTATCAAACGAAAAATAAATATATATTTTATTATGAAGCGTTAAATAAATTATAATAATATTAAAATTTTCCATTGTTTTAAAATAAAATATATCAAATTCATAATCATGAGTATTTACTCTTTATGAATATGAAGTACCTTTCTATTAGATACACAAATAAAATTGTATAAAAACTATCTTATTTTTAAAAATTAAATTTCCTAAACTTATAAATATATATGTTTCTTCATAAAGAAACATTCACAAATTTATTAAAAAAAAGAAAAACTATTTCTATAATATTCAAAAAATTCTTTAAATTCTCAAATACATTTATTTTGTGGTTTTCAATAGTAAAATATTATTTAAATAAATACTTGAATACAATTGAATGTACTTTTATTTTATTTTAAATATATAAGCATATTCAATTTTACAATCAAATTAGATTTAGGTAATTTTTAATAAAATAAGCCAATTTGTATTTATATATTTTATTATGAATATAATATGAGATTTTACATATTTTTTTTATTTATGTATATATATATATAAACATTTTTCCATTGTCTACTTTTTATGATAAATATATATATATATATACTGTAAAACATTTTATAAAAACTTCAAATTTAATGTAATAATATTAATGGCATCCGAAAAAATAAATTTTTTTTACCTGTGTATTTTATTATTTAAGTAATTAAATTATTTTAATTTTTATATTAATAAATTCCAGTTAGTGTTTGCTGTTTATAATAATTATCAAATAAATTATTGTTTGAATAACATAAGTTCAGTATAAAAATTTATTTTTCATGATTCACTATACTTAATTAATTTTAATATTCATGTTTATGTGTAATACTGAATTAACTCGTATAGTTATATGTTATTTAGTACAAAAATGTATGACTTTAGTACAGTATACAGTGTACCTACAATTGTAGACAAGTGTCTGCTACAATTTTTCTGTGATTTACTAATAATAATATTTAATTAATATAGTAATTAAATTTACCATGATAATGAATAACATCATTTTGTCTTTAAAAAAAATTTTGACGATTTATATTATTATAAAAAGCCAATACTATTTTATGAAAAGTATTCAAAAGTAATACATATTACAGATTTTCATTTATATGATTTAATTTTAATTAATTATCATGTTATTTTAAATTTCTAATGTCAATAAAAATAATACATCAGGTTAGCTACAATACTATTATTTTAATTAAATCTTATAGAGATTGCATAGACATTAGACATTAATAGATCTTAACATATTTAAAGTTATTACAAAAAATAATTTTATGAATGAATTTAATTTGTTATTTTATTCATAGAAAATATGAAGATCTGAATTTTTTTTTAAATACACTTAAAAATGTGACAAATAAATTTTATTTGCATAAAATACAGTTTATATAGATTTCAGATATTTTTCAAAATTATTATGAGAAACATTCTATTGATAAATGATAGTTGATTTTGTTAAAAATGTATGAAATTTTAACAAAAAATACTTTAGTAAATTGTATATTATACTTCAAGTTACTGGTGCTCATTGATAGCTTGTATATTATTTTAATATTAAGATATTACAGAATTTAAGTTAGCTAAAAAATTTGAGAATAACAATTTTTAATTGCTAAAATTTAATAATAAATAAAAGGAATTACTATCAAATAAGACAAAAAAAATTTGTTAAAATATTTAATTATATTGTAAAAAGACCATTAAGAAATAAAATTAAAATTTTTCTAAAATGATTTCATATATTTTATAACTTTTTACCCAAAACTCATACAATTAATACAAAAATGAATGTTGGAAATATTATATACTAATATTATTTAAAAATGAGTGGAAGACGTACAATTTGATATGAAATTTCTCAAAACAAATAAAGACCATTTTCAAAAATATTTTACAATTATTTTAAGTTATCTGTTTACTTTATATTCTAATTGATGTATTTTTCTAACTTAAATTAATGAATTAATTCCTTTTATTTTTTTTTAAAACAACTTCTGTATAATTCAACCTAAAATGTTCATTATACAACAAAATTATTGATTGAATAAGATCATTGAAGATGAAATCATTATGTAAGATTACCTTTAAGGCACATAGAGAAATAATTGGATGTACTCTATTATTAATTAAATAATTAAAAATTATTGAAATGTGATCATGAGAAAAGAAAATTATTTGGCATATACTGACATTAAAAGAAATACCATTTGTTTTTTAGCATCAGCTTTCAAAAGCAATAACATTAAAAAATAATACAAGAATATTTTGATGTATTTATACAAAATAAATTAAAAGAAAATAAATAGAATAATAAATCATATCTGTGTATGGGATAAAAAATAATATGTAATGTATTTATAAGGAGTATTGAGACTTTTAGTATTTTAAGATTCATTTTTATAGATCAACAAACATAAATGTTTGCAGTATTTATATTTATTTAGGAATAAAGTAATAAAATGAAATTATTTTTGTTCAATATTAAGAAGAGTTTTTTTCTTTTTTACAGTTTAAAAGAAAACTCTTTATTAAAATGTTTGAATAATTTATGTTCAAAATCATTCAATTTCTCCAGTGCTTTTCAAGGATATATGCATTTTGGACAAGAAACAAATAAATTTGTATGTAAATGTTATTGTTTATTATAAATGGTAAAAATAAATGTCTATGGTTATCAGTAGGGCTAGGGACTTCATGCCCTTAAAAACCTTAAAATATGCATGCATGTATGCCATAAAGAATTAATAAATATGCTATTAAAATATGCATTTAAAAAAATTTTATTGAATACATTTTTTTTATTTTTAATATAGTACTAATTACCTTTAGCATTACATTGGACTATAAGATATTTTCTTATGTTGGGAAATTTAAATGACCGCCTGTTATCAGCCAAAATATTTTTATATATAGAAAAGGAACATTCCATGTCTATCAAACTTATTGGTACAAACTTAAAATATGGTAGGTCACAACTCCTAATATCTGCAGGCTATAGATTAATTTTGTCCATTTAAAATGTTCGATATTTTTTGTAGTTGATCAAATCTAACATTTTCCTCCAAAACTTTTTTAATTTTGTCATCAATTGCTTTAGCTTATGCAGATCCTTCAATTTTTGCAGAATTTATAGTTTTCCTTTATAGATTAAATTATTTTGATGGATTCTGTTAGTGCCACACCTTGGGTTCCAAGTTGAGTGATGGATGAAGAAATAAATCCATTCTTTTGTTTTATAAAATTAAAAAACTTATTCCTTCATATAAATAATTGCACTTATAAAATGAAAAATGGTCAAATATGTAAAATATGCTACTATAAATTTTAAATATAAACTTGTATTGCCATGAAATAAATTATTATATTACTTAGTTATGTTTTTGATGATTATTTAAAAATATACAAACTCCTAGAAGTCCCGAGCCCTACTTATCAGTAATTTTATTTCTTAGGTTTTTTTTTTTTTTTGTATAAAGAAATGTATTGTTCAACTTCAGATATTCGTCCTTTCTAGATCATCTAGCCGATGTCATAGTGATCGACCAAACAACAGCTATAGTTTCTTTTTAGATTTTTTCATTCAGTGGGAAACCAATGATATTATTTATAATTAGTTATATTAGTGTCGAAAATGTTATAAATTAATTAATAACTAATTATCCAATTTTATAATGAACTCACTATAAGATTTATATTTGTATTTTATAATACAAAGGGACAATTTTTATGAAATATTTTAACTATATAAAGATAAGAATAAATAGATAAATTAACAATAAGTTGTTGTTGTTGTTGTTATTCTTCTTAATTTTTAAAGGACATTGAGGCCCATTACCTCAACACAAACCTTAATAATGAGTTTTTTTAATAAAATATCTACCTACTTTATTCTGAAATGTTATTCATTATGATTATATTGCATTGTATTATACGATAAATAATATTATATTCAGGTATCCTAACATGAGAGAAAATTAAAAATATTTTATGAGTTTGTAAATAAAAAATAAAATATATGATAAAATTATATATATTCATAAATCATTAAATATTCATTGGAATTTACAGAAATAAATTTATTTTATTATTATACATAGTTGAAATGTATTGTCTATTAGCTTTGGTCAGTGATTAATATGGAATTAATATCTAATAAATTGTATCTTAAATTGAAAACTATTTCATTAACAAAACTTTAGTATATTGAACACATCAATGTTAATATATAGTAATAATTATTTCTTATTTATTCTTAAAATTAAATATATGTTGAATATTACAAAACGTTCCATTAGATTTCAAAATTCTAAATTTTTATGCTACAGTATATATAAATACATTTTTTACTGAGAATGAGTAAATTAGTTTAATTCAATAAAATATCCTTTGATACATTTTTATCGGTGAACGGCCAACTTTCGACTAGGTAATTTAATAAAATTATAAACAGATAAATTATAGAATATTTCTTGTCAAATAATCGTTGTAATATTATTATCAATAATAATACGGTAACGCACTAAAGCGCCACTTTTTGTCCAATTAATGAGTGATTAAATTGATGATACGCGGTGAACCTGTACTGATAACGCGATATCTGTTTTTATAAAGCGAACATTTACGAGCGCTTCCCCGCAGTGGGGCATTTGGCTGGCTTATCATAAAATAACGTTATCATAGTTTTATGAATTCTTTACATTTGATGAATATAAATTATATTATGTCCTAATGTAAATGGTAGGTAGGTAGTAGAGTAAATGAATAGTTGTAATGGAGACTGGAGTTATTAAATATAATTAATTTATTACATATTAATTACTAGCAAAATGTAGTTATTTTTTTACAAGAATGGAATTAAAGGTCTTAACTCTTAATATAGCATATAACCTAATAATACCATATTTTATCATTTTGCTCTTCTCTTTGTAATTTAAGTTTTCTTTTGGTACATCCACTGAGAGGTACCATTTTAAAATTAATTTAAATATTAAATATATAAGATAAAATGTATAAATACTATAAATTGTACAAATATTAACGCAGGTGACGTTAGCATAAGTGCGGCGTGCGCTGAATGTAAGTGCTCAATCGGAGACCATAATATAATTCTATATTTCTATATGAATCAATATAATGACAATACCCTCGCTCAAAGTATTTTAAAAATAAACATACAAGTATACAGTAGTCACTGTCTAGATATGATAAGAACAACTTGACATTGTAGTATAGTACCGGTATTTAGCTATAAATAGCAATTATTTCTTAATCGATCGTTTAAATTTAGTTACAAGTTACATTACTTAGATTATAATTGAAACCCGATGTGTTTGGTTTTATTTGCGTCATATTTAGGCAATATTAAAAATTTAGTAAAAATTAAAAGCAATCATATAATAATGAACCCCTTTCAATACTTTAGGTGGGCCGGCATAAGACCGGACACATATTAGGGTGGACCAGGCACACCCTAGCCCTCCTTTAGCCACGTACCTGCCTACCTACCATTTACATTAGGACATAATATAATTTATATTCATCAAATGTAAAGAATTTATAAAACTATACATTATAATATTCCTAATAGTATATTAATATATACCTTTTAAATAAAAAGAGATCTTCTAGCTCCTACATTTTACATTTTACAATTTGAAGTTATTATAACGTCCTTTTATGATAAGCCAGCCAAATGCGTTACTGCGGGGAAGCGCTCGTGAACATTTTCCTAGATTCCAGTACATATTATCATTGATTATAAATACTAGTATTTATAATCAATGATATTATGTATGTCTAGAATTGTAGCAGTGGTGCTGAACTATATTTCAAAAAGAATGGTGCTATAATTTTTTATTAATGCTAATGTATAGTATAATATATAATATGCCTATAAACTTACTGTTAAAGACAGAATATCATATAATTTTACGCCACTGATACAAATTACAAACATAAAAAAAATCCCATAATTCATGGACACCCATTTCTTCAAACAATAGTGGCTCAAAATCAACCTTCACTTTTGTTGTCGGTGGGACTGGAGCTCTATAATTTTGAGGTCTCCTAGTAGCGGATTGATTTTTACCGGTATCCGACGAATTTTATTCTATTCTCTAGCGACAGCAATTTTAAATTGCATAAGGTCTATAATTTCCGTAATCCAAATCCTAATTGTCACCTAAAGTGGTCAAAAATTCAATTGCTTTCGCATTCAATTTTGCGCGACACATGTTTTTTGTTCAAATTATAATAATTAAAATAAGAATTAGACCAGTAGAAGAAATTACATTATTATACAATATGAATAATGTTATATAAAATCCGAACACGTACAAATGTGTGGGTAAATTAAAAACGATAGTATCAAACGCACGTTGGACGATAACTGATTAAAATAGGACATGGTCCTAAACGACGTATTTCATTAATTTTTAACAACTAATCAAGTGTCATTGCACAGCCGTGGGGTATTAAAATTCCGAAGTTAAATAATCGGAGATCCAACTTACAGTTGTAGATGGTGTGATAGGATGCCTGGCAAATCTAATGAGTTCAAAAACCCTATTTTATAATTTACAGCTGCTTTGGCATCGTAAACTGTATCGATTGATTTGTATCTTGAAATTTAAATCATTGACGTCCGTATTGTTTGTTGCCAGAATAACTTTTCTACCAGTCACTCATGATTTGTGTATTATATGTGTATATAATATATACTATAAATGGAAATACACATTAGATGAGAGCATTTTGTGAATCAATAATAGTTGTGCAGAAATCGGTTATGCATCCAGTAATTTCTATAGCAACTTTTCCATTGCCGATATCTAACAATTATTTGGAGAATGTGTCAGCGGATGGATCTTGAACCATTTGAACACGCATGTTTAATTTTAGCTGTAGTTTTTCAACATAATGCCACAGTGGCGATGATTTCAACAACGTACGTTGAACGTGAAATGATGAGAAATGTTTATCTGAAATCACTTGGAAAAAATAACAGACTACCGTCGAATAGTTTATCGTTTTTTATATATTTTGGTGTCCCGTTCAACGATTCAAATGAATGTTTGTGTGCCATAATGCATTAATTATCCAGATGATAATTTTGCATTTTTTCAGCATTGTAGCCAAGGACAATTATTTTTTTTATGTTGTACATTGCATCTGGATTATTTATAATATTCAATGACAGCTTAAATGTTGAATGAGCTGTTCTGCCTCTATCCAATAATGTTGCTGCAATTCCAAATGATACAACGGCTAATACGATGCCATTATTTAATTGTACTTTGACTAGAATCAGCGAAATGAGATATATTTTGCTTGTTTCACCTGATGCATCAAAAAAAAAAAAAAAGAATCAATCTTGTCCTATCGAACTGCCAGCATAACGCGACCGTAAATTATTATTTGTTCTTCAGTCAGTAGTGGGAAATTGCGTATAACAATCAATTCCATTTTACAGTACTGTACTGCATTTGAAAAATCATGAAAATCAGAATTAAAAAAAATAAAATAAAAATCATGTAATCAGATGCACTTCGATTTGAAGAACGCATACTGAAATGACTGATTGGTAAATTGACAATAAAAATGCAAACATCCTCAATAGGAATCAATGCTTCATTGTATGTAGTCGTTGAATTATATCGTTAGTGTTGAAACAGCAATTCAATAATTATTTAATTATGTTATCAACATTATATTATTATCATATATCAAGTATCAACTATTGATTATTGTTATTATTACTATTGTGTTTTTACCTTTTGAGGTTATGAAATTTTTTTTTTTTTTGTTGTAAAAAGTTAAGGTTTAAAAGCATGTGAGCATTAAAATGAATTTACATATTGAAGAAAGGTGGTCTTCTCTTATTACATTTCAATAGTTAGATCATTTTACCGTGTACAAGAATTCGATGTAATATATCATCACTCATTGAATCTTTGTGCTTATCCCAAAACGTGTAGTTAACACTATAGCGAATAGTTAATGAATTTGTGTTGCTGTACAGTTCAATACTACTTCATCAAGCATATTGTACCAGTGGTTATCGTCTTCTAGCAAGTCAAATACAAGGCATGCATCTTTAAACATCAAATACTGTTGTCCGTTCACTTTGCGTATATCTTAAAATGACAATGGGCCGGTGGCAATTAAACAATAACAGTCGCAGATAGAAACACTCAGTCTACCTTGGGTTGACTGAATATACTCGGCCCATAGTGTTTGATTTGAATATACTTGGACATGCATAAAATGATATTCATAGCTTTTGAGTCATCCATTTTTTTGCTTTAGCTCATGTGAAATAGCGTGTAACTTCAGAATAGAGTAGTGTTCGAGCAAAGGCACCATAAAAACTCACTACTACATAATTTGAAAAATTAGTTTTTGGTGGATTTATAGCATGATAAAATGCTGTCTCGTTTGCCAAAAATACGTGCTGGCCGTTTTGAAGATGAACAGTTAAATGTATAACTGCTGGATCTCGTCAATGAATTGAAAACCAAAGATATGCCAAATAGATCTTTCAGTTCAACTGATGTACTAGCCAAGTTGGTAGTTTTCATATTGATATTTTCAATTTGAAACACAACATATCCACTGCCTTTATTCCTATACTTGCAAATGTATTTGATACTTTTGGGAAAACTACAGAACTCGACATTAATATGAACGTTGAATGTTTTGCTCAAAATAGGTGAATATTGGACCATCAAATGATTTTCAATGTCCATCTCTACGTTGTTAACATTTTTTGTAAATTATTGCCATTATCGGTATTTCTTTGAAGATATATTGGATAACCGTCAACATTTGTGATCGTATCATAAGTGAAGTCTTTCAAGAAACGTTTTGTACATTTAACATCTGTCATGCAAGACCATAAACGATTCAGATTACTATATGTGCCAACAACCATGTTAGTTGTTACAATGTCGAACAGTAGTTGATCAGTAGACGGATCTAGAATTTCTACAGAAATAATATTATCAATTTCCTCAAGCGTATTTTGTCGATTAACCAAATTGAAATGTGTGCATGAGGTAATCCTCGCTTTTAGTCATTCAACAGAAGAGTACATCTAGCAACGTATGGAACCGAATATATGTAATTTTGTTTTGAAGCTCATTAAAGACTTTAATATTTGTTTGAACACACATGCTGTAATCATAGGCGAACATTTGGTTTAATTTTTGGGGGAGCTATAGTAAATTCAATGTAGAATAACCCGCAAGGGCTTATCTTGCACAAATAAAACTTATTACTATTAAAAATATAGACATTATTAATTTTTATTAAAAGAATACTAAGTAACATATATAATTAATATTTTATTTTAATGACAAATATATATTTGTATCAGCAAAGATCAGGGGCGTATTCAGCTCTTCTTCCAGGGGGGGGGGGGGCGAAATTTAAACTCAAATCATGGGTTATTATAAAAAAATTTGTACATAAACGACAGTGTACAGATTATTAATAAATTGGCGGATCAAAATTGTTCGATCGTTTCGCTTGCTTAAACTTCAATAATTGATTTCTACCCACTTTCATAACCCATAACATTAATTATTGTAAACAACATCAACAGTATACCAAATAAAATAACTTGACATAGGACATAGGTACATATAAATATAAAAGCATATTATAATAACCACATAATATAATAATAGTTTTATTAAATATATAATAATTAATAATAAAATAATATTAAATAACAAAATCCAATTTCCTTTTTGTCTTTGAAAATCGTTCAATAACTTTTGATGAGTCAATATCAATATTTCTATGTAAGTTCATTAAAGCCAAACCTGTCAACCTTTTCTGGGACATTTGGCTTCTCAGCCATGTTTTTAACCTGGTGTAACATATTTCAGAAAGCATTAAGCAATAAGCAAACAGCCAAAAGCCAAAGGAGTTATGATTAATGCAAAGCAAAAAAGGAGGACAAATTTATAAAAATAATCACAGAATTAAATAAATAAATCAATTAAATATCTAAATCAGACTATCTAAGTAAAGTTATACTAAATAGCGGAAATTAAATAAATATGATAGCATTTTTAACTATAGTTAAGTTATGTCATAAATAATAACTAGTAGTAAAAAAAATCTAAACTGATTTTGCTCATACTATATGTATATATTTTGTGCTCTTTAGAGTGCATAAATGCATGCATATTTAGTATATTTTAAACCACATAAGTTCTAAGCCCTGCTTTTTACCAAAATTATTTTCTGGCTGTTTCCGCTTCATAGAATCCATAGTAATAAACTAACCTGCTACAGTGTGGTACTGTCGTCTGTCGTACGTGAACTAAAATACATTTGATTATAGTATTAAAAAAAAAAAAAAATAACATAATCTTGTAAGTCGTAGACGATCACAATTATAATAGCTCCACACTGCCACAGATACAACAACAATAATAATTATTGTATATATCTGTGATTACAGCCAATATATCTCTAATCTTTTGACTCTTATCAGTCTTATCTACAGCCATAATTGGTTATAGACACGGTTAAAGATATACTTTATATATCTTTGTATATCTTTAACCGTGGTTATAGATGTTTTATTAATTGATAACAGGTTTTTGATAACTATTATCCATTTCCAAAAAAAAAAAAAAATATGGAAAAAAAAAATATGCACTGTATTTTTAATTTTTGTAATATAATATTATAATAAAATATGTAAGCACCTTTACATGAAACATATTCAACAATGTCCAGGGGGGGGGGGGCGATCGCCCCTATCGCCCCCCCTTGTATACGCCCCTGGCAAAGATATTCAAAATATCATCGATTTTTATGTTTTTCGATATATCTTTTCCAATATATAGTATTGAAAGATAGCTGAACCTATCTTAAACCAACGATGTTCTTAACCAAGTTTTTATTTTTATCATTGCATTGAAACCTTTCGCAAGTAACCAAACTAATTGGTATTGTTAATGCTATTGTAAATAATTTTTTGTTATTTCTTGTCTTACAATTTTCAAAAAAACGAACGGATAATTATAAATTAACGAATAATATTTCTAACAAAGTTTCGATTTTGAGGGAATATTAAAATATTTGGAGGAGGGCTAAGCCAACCCCCTCCCCCATCGATTTCCGCCTATGGCTGTAATGTCATGACGATGTATAAGATGTATTCATTTTGGTCTTGCAGCAAGACTAAGATGATTCATCTTGGTCTTGCAGCAAAACCAGTTTGGCTCATCAGTAGGCACTTTTCGTAAATATTTAATTTTATATTTTGTTAGTGTTAACTGGTTAACTGGCAATGGCGCAGTTGGAAATTGTATAGGGAGGGACCAGTTATAAAAAAATGAATAATTTTATTTATTGAGTGTATTTTTAAATTTTTACACTTGTAAATTTTTTTACTTTATTTCATCATCTTTAACTATAACTAACGAGGTAAATACAAGAAAAAAACATGATGGATAGATAAAAAATATTCATGTAAAATTATATTGTTAAAAAAAAATTAAAAACTATGTCATTAAATAGGAAATTATCATTTGAATACTTAGAATATAATTTAAAAAAATAATATGAAAATTTAAAATTAGTTTATTTTTGAGTTATACATAAGTAAATTTAAAATTTCCTTAAAAATTAGTATATTTCTTAGCTAGAACAAGGGGGCATCCTTGGTGAGAAAAACAGTCAGTGAAATTGGGAGTTCTTATATACATTTTTGTTACTCACCAAAAATTATTTCAATACGTCATATATATATATATATATATGGCGTACATGATAATTCCACTATATAGGGCCGTAGTAAGAGGGTGTGCGATGTACCTACGCTAAAGATATATACCAAGTACCTTTCCCAGTTAGTATAGAAATCTGTGAGAATAACGTTAGCAAATTTGTTATCATAGTGGGTTATGCGACAGTTGTTATCAGATTCCATAAATAATAATATCCTATCGATATGACTTCAAAAATATCGTGTAACAGTGGTTTAGGTAAGAGTGAAGTATGGGTGGGATGGGATTTAAACCCTCCTCCCATTACGAAAATTCCAGTGAGTAAATAAATAGGTAATAATAATAATTATTAACTAAATATATCAACCCCTCATAAATAATCTTTATCCACGCCCTAGGACTATAATATTCAATGTCAATTATCAGACGCATCCACAGATATACAATAATATCATTGTAGTATTATTGTACACATTTGTGGTCGCATCCGATAATTTTATCATCAGAATATTGCGTGCGATAAATGTCTTTAAATAATCTGTAATTCATTACAAGAATTTAGATAAAGAAATCGGAACCCAGATGTTATATCGTTAACGCTGATACCATATAATCGGTATTATTTGACGGAGCCAAATTTATTTGAAAATTACCATGAGGAGGGTAGCTGGGATGGGCATCGATGTAAGGGTGTTCTGTGATAATTACGGTTGGAATTAAAAATAATATACATGTTTAATTTATGATATTATTACTATTATTTGTGTTACTATTATTATTGAATGTTGTGCGACTCGATGATAGCGCCGTGGTCTGTGAAAATATTAAACGTGACCAGTCGACGTTGGCCACTGCGCAAACGTGGCGCTAAAGATGGCGGCCTCCATACGGAGTCATGAACGGGCACTGCAAACAAAGGAATTCCCGCGTCACGGGTTCGCCTAGGTCGTCGTTGACAATGCGGTTTGACGGCCGCGCACGCGCACCGTCGATGTTATTCGTTCGTGTTGTCCGCACAATGGTGATCGGTTGTCCCCGCCGGATCCTGCGCGCGATTTCTATTCCACTGCGGGCCCAACCACCTCGCTCCCTTCACCATCCTCGCATACCAGCGTCCCGTATTCGTACGCTCGTTATTTATTTCGCACCGTCGCCATCGGCAAGTCAGACAACGCTGAACCGCTCGGAATACGTTCCCACTTTCTTGCACGACTTTTCCAGCAGTTACGTGCACGACGTTTTCGCGAACCCAGCCACCCCTTAAAACTTCCACTTGCTCCGCATACAGAAACAAGCGTTTGGTGTCGCACGCGGTGAAACGATTTAACAACGCTACAAGGCAACACCATGCAGTCGGCCATTTTCGTCGGTGAGTAAATGTGTTTTTCATCGACGTGGCGAACACGTTCGGTCGAACCCAAGAGCGTTCGCTCGGTTGTTCACCACCGAAATCGGTTGATCTAGTGACTTGTTTTCCGTCATTTTATAGCTGTTGGCATCGACCGCAGCCATTCGCTTACTTTCTATTTAAGGTCTCAAGGATTTTTCTAATGCGTTAGCATTTCGGTTCATCATGTATGTTTTATGTTATGTATTTATGCGCATGTGCATTGATTATAGCGACAAGTAGTGTTATATGAATGGCTTGTATTAAACTCAGCGGGACTAGAATTCCGTATTAATGCCTTAGGATTAATCATTCATCTGTTATTCTTATTAAGTAATTTACTTTTTGGTTTTATCATTCTTCTTACAACATTTGAATGGTACTGTTCGATATTTATTTCAAATATTGGATACTTCCAAATTATACGAAACTATTTGGACTATTCGATAGTTTTGAATTCAGTTATTCGATAGGTTCCGACTTCAAAATTATTCAGTAAAATTTGAAATTAGCTTAAATACAAATTAAAATAAACTATTATTAGATGAGTATGTGATCCATTTCTTACGACTTTTCAACGTTTCAATTAAAAACTATGCTTACCATCTAATAGTATTGTGCCCATCACTAGTATTTATGATTTCTTTATATGTATGCTGTGCAGAGCTCGACTTGAAGGGGGACGGAGTACCCCAACTAATTTTTTAGAAATTTTAACGTCCCCCTACTATTATTACGTTATAATTATAACTCTTAACAAGTTTAGGGGACGCTCATTTTTTTTTAAAGTAAACGGAGTCCTCCTTTAATTTTGTCAAGTCGAGTGTACTGATCCTGTGTACTAATATATATTCAATTTTTCCATGTACAAATATTTAATAAACAAAAATATTAGCAATTATTTTAAGTACTTTAACGAGAAACTTTTATTTAAATAATGTTACTACTTATTTATGTTTAAATTTAACGATTTTACAGCGAACAATTGATATTTAAAATTTTACTACTGTGTACCATCTGCATAAATATTTATTTATATTTTTTATTTATTTATTTTTTTAAAGCTATATTTACAATCTGTCATAAGTAGCACAATAAGTACATTTAATAATATAATAATTAGGCTTTGGGACTTCTAGCATTTGCATACTTTTTTTAATTATTGTTAAATATAGCAGAGTGCGAGATAAATTCGTTTCTCGATGCCATATCAGATCTAAAATTTGAATGTGCATATTTTTGCATATTTGATAGATTTTTCAGGAGAGTGCATATTTTAAAATTGTTATGTTTATTTTGCATATTTTGAAAAAATTTTTAAATTTAAAATTAAAAACTAGATACATATAATTATGTAGATATAACTATATATACATGTTTCAAAATGTACTTAATAATTAGTACTTAATATTTCCAGTAATATGATATCTGCAAACTACCTCACATATCTCGAGACCATTTTTTTTTTTTTGTTAGATCAGGTTAGACTCTTGGTGATTTTCTTTTTAGTTCTTGGAGGGTTATTTAAGATGGTTATAGAGGACATGCGGGATATAAGAGGATTTTGATTTGAGTGCAGTTTGCAGTGGAACTTTTTATACTGACGAGTTGCTATTTTGTTAACTGTTGAGATTTGTAGATATATGTACTACATATCCTTATGTACTACGTCGGTTAGTCATATACTATGGGATTCCAGTTATTTGCCTAAGACATACAGATTGAAAAGCTTGTATGGATCTTATATTAGATAGTTTGGCTTGGCCCCGGATTTGAATACCATGACCAAAGGGAGTAATAATCGTCTTATAAATTAGAATTTTTAGACTCTTTGAAGGATATAATAATGGACAAAGGAAACGTGTGTTTGGTTCTTTTTTTTCTTTTTAGTATGTTGGGTCCAGGTAAGTCTTTAATCAAGATGAGCTCCTAGGTATTTGGTAACATTTTGAATAGGAATCTGTACATTGTTGAGTAATAGTTGAGGACATTCTTTTACTATGAGAAAAATTTATTTGCACTAATTTGTTTTTGTTTATCTTAATTTTTCATTTTTTGGTCCAGTTGGAAATTTGATTTAAATGGTGTTGTATATCGTGGATGGCTATGCTTGGGTCTTTGTTTAATGCTGAAACAACGGTATCGCTTGCATATGTCGCTAGAGTTGTATGGTTTGTTTTAGGGATATCTGATGTGTAAATATTATATAGTATAGGTGATAAATCATTTCCCTGAGATACTCCCGTTTTGATTTTATGATAAGGAGAGTAAGAATTTTTATAGTTTATAGTGAAATATCGGTCTTTAAGATAATATTTTAGAATGAAGAAATATGGAGCAGGTAGAAACGATTTTAATTTAAACAGTAATCCGTCATGCAAATACGATCAAATGCTTGCACGATATCGAGGAATACACATGGGTAGTGTTCTTTTTTTTTTAATAATGATATTTTATCAGTGATTCTATGTATTTAGTGAATTGTCGAATGATATGATCGGAAACTAAATTAAGTATTTGGAGTGATATTTTTTTCTTTGATAATAGGGGTTATCCTTTTAAGAAGTAATTTTTCGAAAAGTTTCTCTAACGCCGGTAATAAACTTTTTGGACAGTATAAAGTTACTAAATGCTTTGGTTTTTCTAGCTGAGCAATTAATATTATTGTTGACAATTTCTATATTGGGGGAATGAATGATAATCTGAGCATCGTGTTATATATGTGAGTCAGAAGGAGGATAGTTTTGTTTGTTAGTTTTTTTGAGTATTTTGTTATTAATTAGATCGTACTCTGGGGATTTGTTGTTATGTAGCTTAATGATATAAAATTTTATTTCTTGTGATGTAATTGGTTTAGCTGGTAATGACATAGGAAGCGGACTGTTAAGAAAAGTTTGAACATTCTCTATGTGTGTTGTTATGTTGACATTTGTATCTGAGTGGGGTTGGAAAGTTGCTTATAGGTTCATTAGGTGCTTCGATTTTGACTTTAGTATGGCATCAAGTTTTGAGCTCAAATATGTTTTTATTGTTTCTATGGTTTCTATTGTTCTAAGTCTACAAAAAATAGGGGTGGTTATATTTTTGAGACTATACGTATGTAGAGCATTTGTGACGTTTCACACTTTAAATCCTTCTCTTTTCAGTTCTTCTTTTATGTAATCGGGTTTAGTGGTAAGATGTATATTTCTAATAACGATTCTATATGGTTTGTTTTTTTTTTTTTTTAATTGATATATAAAAAATTCTACTTTTGATTCTTTTAGGAATTTAATCATAGTTCTGTATGCATTTGACGAGGTAGTGTTAAGTAGAACTTTTGCAATTAAACATTATTATTATGAGGCTCGCTTGAATGGCGGCTATTAATTTTTTTTTTTTTGTTTGGTGTTTTGGTTAATATATTTAATTTGGGAGATAATCTTTGTTATATTAGGATTCATTTTTAATGAGATGTTGTTACGTAAGTGAAAGATATGCGGTTGAAATATGGTGTGTTTTATGTATATGGGTTTGAGTAATTAAAATACTTAGATACAAAGTCTTGTCTTGAGGTTTTGGGTCCCAGACGGACAGCGATTTATTTTTGTTAAAAAACACTTATCGATTTTTATTTTTTTAACACTTCACGACAAAAACGATTAGGGGGACTTGAGGGGACAAAGCCCCTCCAGAAATCTAAAGTAAAGTCTTAGACCCCCTAGTCCTAAAAATTGTTAAGTGACTAAAAATACAATAATTATTATGATTGTAAAATGCATTTTTAATAACTGAATTAAAAAAAAATATTCTGTGATAAAAATTAAATCAAATTCGTAAGATTTTACAAACTTATTGTCATGACTTGGAACGATCGTAATTAATGTAATATTAATAATATGTAACAATATTCGCATTGGTTGCTTTTTAATTTAATTAATTAATAATTTCTGTTTAGAATACCTACTCCAAAAATGTTTATTATAAGGCACCTAATTGTTTTATTGGTTAAATTTTTGAGTATTGCAAATTGTCAAACTTTGTAAATTGCCTTGTTGAAATAAATAATTGCGTACACGGGTATCTATAGGTGTTATGAGCAAATAATGCTCAGCCCCCCACTAATTTCACCAAATTTTCACTTATGACCCGATGTAACTATAAAACGTTCATGTGAAACTAAAGGATTGCCTAAAAACATAGTTTGCACAGCTAGTATTTCACAATATAAAGTTATTTATTAATCTCGAATAAAATATACCTATTTCTTGAAATTAAGTAATTTTTAAGTAAGTCTATAATTACTTGTATGTTATTTTAAAATTTTTAATGTAGGTACCTAAAACTAATTAATAACTATTAAAAATAAATATATTTAATTCATATTTTTAGACTTTTTATGTATATTTTACCATTTTTTTTATAGTATATTTTAGCTTTTATTGATATGATTTAAGTGCTGTAAGAAGTTCTAAACCCTGCTTATTATTGTTATATCAAAAGTGTATTTATTTGTATAGATAAATTTTATAAATTATCAATGAATGATAATATGATATTTAAGGTTTTGCAGGTTTAAATACAATTTTGAAGGGGAAAAAAATGTTAATTATTAATATATATTTAAAACTTATTTAACATAATATAAATTTACTCAATACAAATTTTAGATTTTACAGTATTTATAGTTTTAATACTATATTTTGTTTATGTTATTAAATTAATTATATTTATTTTATAGTAATTTTAGTTTTGCATTTGGTATGCATTAATACACAGAATCCTGGAAGCTTATTAAAAAAACACGGACGTATTTGTAAAGTTAACATTTGTAAGAATGGAGGCTTGTGTGTTTTAGTAGAACAAATGGATGTAAAAAAAGAAACTTGTATATGTTCATTTGAATATTCAGGTATTTATTTAATATATTATTTATGTAACCATGACAAAATTGTTAATTTTATGATATAAACACATAATAAAATCAAATAAAATAAAAATTTGTAGGTAGTTAATACTAATAAATTAATATATAAATACATAATTTATAGATAGAAATAAATTAATAAAAATAAAAATGATTAATCATAGATATTATCAATAATAGCTGGGAGTATTATTATATTTGTAATATACAAGTGATTATTTAAAATTAGTTCTTATTAGATAGATATACATATGTTGAGATACATAATATTTTGATTATTATTTATTATTATCTAAACTGTGTTGATAGGTATTTAATATTATTTTTAAAATCGGTTTGTTTATTTAAAATATTAATAAAATTGTTTTTCTTAATTTCATTATGTTTGTGTAACCATTGATTATAGTGTAACTCTTCTAAAACTGAATGAATGTAAATGTTATTTTGGGTACCTATTTAATATTTTTAAGTCTGTATTGATATCAAAATGTATATTATGATTGTTTTCTAAAACATATTTAATGTAAAAAATTCTGGTATTTTAGAAAATAACCATAATATACATTTTTATATCAATACCGACTCAGAAATGTTTAATACCCAAAATAATATTTACATTAATTTAGTTTCAGAAAAGTTATGCATACATATTGAAATAAAGAAAAATTATTTTAATACTATTTTAAATGTACATACTTATTTTAAAAATAACATATTTTATAAATATATTTTAGATAATAATAAATAAAATCTACTAAAACCAAATCTAGAGCATTATGTTATATGGATGCAAATTATGGATTAGGTATTGCAAAATAAGAAATAAGAAGAATAGAGGTATTTGAAATGTGATGCTACAGGAGGATCGAAAAGGTAAGTTTGACTGATAGAATTAATAATGAAGAAGTTTTAGAAAGAGTATCTGAGATTAAATTAATATGGTAGAGTATACAGACAAATCCCAATGAATTAATATGTCATATCTTAAGACATGATGGGTTGCTATTACTAATCTTAGAAGGAATAATAGATGGAAAAATCATAGTGGAAGACCAAGATTGCAATACATAAGTTAGATAATATAAGATAAAGGATGTTATTATCTTAATTCATATTAAGGGTCGAAGAGGAAGACTATTGATAGAGAAACATAGAAATTGCTGTAAACCAATCATTAGATTGAGTACTGCAGAAGAATAATAACAAACAATAACCAAAGTAGTTATATTTCTTAACATGTCTATGCCTAATAAGAACTAATTTTAAACAATCTTTCCTATTAATATTAATTATCTCTTTGTAAAACGACCAATTGTTGTTAACATATTCCTTCATTTATTTTTTCATATTTAATCACGATTTTATTTACTTTGTATATAATTCATGATGAATTTTTAATTCAAAATCGGTTGTACATTACAAATATACTCCAGGCTAAAGATTTATTTCTAATTACAAACTATTTATTTAGATATTAATACCTCACAATTTTATTTTATTTTATAATATACTTTAGTAGATACACATATTAATCACTTGTTTATGTAAGTAGTTAATTTAGTATATAAATATCAATAACTGCACAATATTTGCACGAGTTTATTAGTTTTGACCTACTTTTACAGGAACTTTGTGTGAAATAAATAATAAAGTAGCATATTTGTTTGATGATATTTGTCTAAGCATGCCTTGTATGAATTCTGGCACTTGTATTTCCCAAGGATCTAAATACTTTTGCAAATGCCCTAATGGCTTTACTGGCATTAATTGTGAAAAAACTATAAAATGTATTGACCTTTGTCTGCATGCTGTAAATTGTTATGATTATGTAAGTTAATTTTATAATTCAATTTATTATATAGTTAAGAGAATAAAAATAATATAATTAAACTAAGTAATATTATAACTTGCAATAGCCCTTACTTAGTTAAGCTTTAAGATGTTATATAACTATAGTCTTATATTAAAAATTATTACTAAAAAGTATCTTCTTGGACTTCATTTTTTTTATTACTTATAGGTTGGTGAATACCATTGTGAATGTAAGCCCGGTTGGTCTGGACAGCGTTGTGATCAAGACTTTAATAAGACTCTTGGTAATGTATGTGGATTAAACACTTGTATTAACGGTGGAACTTGCACTTCATTAATTGGAAAAACTGACCATATTTGCGACTGCCCCCCTGGTTTTATTGGTAATAATAAAAAATAAAAAGAAGTATTTTAGACTAGCTTTTTATACTATTTAATTTGCTTAGTATTTTAATTTAATCATCTATAAAAATTTGTTAGATTTAATTATTTTATATTTTAAATTATATTTCAAATTTGAAATTTTAATGTGAAATAATTGCCTCAATTTCTTATGTAGTTGGTAACTACTGTATTATATTGAACTTTTAAATTACTTTAACATACTGAGTATACATTTCAATAAAAGAGTGTTGGTTTGATGGATTGAGTATTTCGATCTCTCACAGATGTAGTAGTAGATTTTATTGTACATGAAAATCTAACATTTTTTCAGGTCAATCATGTGAAATAGATATTGATGAATGCATTTCCAATCCATGTTTAAATGGTGGTACTTGTCATGATCTTATTAATGGTTTTAAATGTAATTGCAACAACAATTATACTGGAATTCTCTGCCAAACACCATTGGGTGCATGTGCTAAAAATCCTAACTCTTGTTTAAGTAATGATACTTGTCTTGAACCAACTTCATCACTAAATGATTACTATTGTATATGTCCTCAAGGTAAACAGTTTAATGATTTTTTTTTTAACTTTTGACTTATGTTATTTTAATACTTAATTTATGTTTTGAAGATAAAAATTGTAAGGTAAATACTAATGATTGTTCAACGACCAAATGTCCAACTGTAAAAGTTTGTGTTGATGGTATTACCACTTATAAGTGCCAATGCCCTGAAGAATATACCGAAGACTTTTGTTCAAAATTAACAAATTACTGTCAAAAAAGTCCTTGTAAAAATAATTCCACTTGTGTAGATAATCATGATGGTTTTACTTGCCTTTGTGCATTTGGGTTTGAAGGTACAATTATAAATATTAAATATTATGTAAATATAATTATTTAATCGAAATTATAATTAGGTACGCTTTGTGATCAAGACATAAATGAGTGTGAAGTTAGCAAAGATATATGCCATAATGGACTTTGTATTAATAAAAATGGTTTGATAAACTTATAATAAAATATTAAACTTAATCTAAGTACATATTTTGTAAATATTAATTTTTATATTTAGGAACCTATCAGTGTTACTGTCAACCTGGGTATTCTGGTGACAATTGTGATCTCAACTTAAACGAATGTTTGTCTTTGCCTTGTCTTAATGGTGCAACATGTGAGGATAAAATTAATGGATATAATTGCATTTGCCCTGATGGATATTCTGGAAAACAATGTCATATTAATGTGGATAAATGCATTTTGAATCCTTGTTTGAATGGTGCTACATGTATTAGAGAAATGGAGTCATTTATATGTTCATGTCGGTATGGTTTTGGCGGAAAGCTCTGCGACATAAATATAAATGACTGCACTTCTTCTTCATGTAAAAATATGGGATTATGTATCGATGGAATTCAGAGTTATGAATGTGACTGCACAGATACAGGATTTGAAGGGAATCATTGTGAAATAAATATCAACGATTGTTTATATAACCCATGCAAAAATAATGGTACTTGTATCGATGAGACTAAAGGTTATTCTTGCAGTTGTTCAATTGGTTATGCAGGAAAAAATTGTGATATTTATTTAAATGAATGTGCAAGTAATCCTTGTCAATATGGGAGCATTTGTGTTGAACGTTATGATCCAGTGTTTAATTATCATTCAAATAAAATAAATGTATCAATGCAATTTCAACAAGAGTTGAATTATACGCTTAGAACTGACAATAATAAATTTGAATGTATCTGTTCTCCTGGTACAACTGGTGTCAAATGTGAGACTATTCTAACCAATCCAGATTCATCAACAGGA